TTTATTTTTAGTTCTCGAAAGATAAAAATATCTCCATTGTACTTCTCATTATCGAGGTACTCTACCATAGATTTGGGATATTTCTTAATCTTTCTAACTAATTTTTCTGAAATATTCAATAATATTTCTAAGATGCATTGCGGATCCGATGCATATAGTATCCTTAATTACATAATTATCTTTGCCGTTCGGCGACATATATATTCGTGACATATAATCGTGAGCCTTTCTCTTAAGAGTATCGTCCTATCGTTCGTCCTTGCTTATTTCAAATTAAAGCTTGGATGAAACCTTTAAATTGCGACAATATGCAACATCATTAATCACAAAAAATAGTAAAAAATATTAAAAAAAATTAAAAGCAAAGCGTAATATCCGGTTTTCGGCTGATTTTCTTTGTCAGTCTTTAAAATTGTAGGTCTTATACAATTGTGTTCAAACTTGTGCAGAATCAATTGAGAGCCGACAAAAGCGTAGCTGCGGCCGGAATTTTAGGTCGATTCTTCCTTTTGGGGCACAATTTAATGTTCAAAAAAAGATGGCAAAAATTATAGTTGAACGGTGGGAGACTGGTAGGCTAATTATTTTAATTATTTATTATTATTTAACTGTTTTTTGTGTTTGTTTGTTTTTGTTTACAGTTATTGGTTATATATTGTAATGTAATATATATCGTTATCTAACATTGTTATAATTATAATTATTCTAATTTTATAATTATAATTTTATAATAAATAGTTTAATTACCAAGGTTGAGGTACAAATGATCGACTGACTTTGAGACCTTTTTAACGGAAAGGGGCATCGAACCGGGAACCATAAAGACAAATCAAACCACTTTTTTTCCAATTGAAGGTCCGAGTTGAAGGTCCGAGTTCATGTTTTACTCTTTTTTGAGCACAATCACTATTTTTGTGTGGTTCCAGAGATCTCGCTGATATCTATATCATTGAGGCGCTTCAATAATTCAGTTTGAAATGTGCTTACTGTTTCCAAATCTTTTGTCGGAAATATTTGAAGGACCTTAGATATAAGAAAAAATTCTATTGTTCAAGATGAAGAAATTCCCCGAAACAGTTAGAAATAAGCGGGGTAAATCAAATAGATCAAATGAATTAAATAATTTAACTCTGCATTTATACAATTATGGACTTACGTTACGGTATCCTCCTCTTCCGATGCGCTTTACTTTCAGATGTGGTACATGGTACGATAATAATCCCTGCATAAATGGTCTGAAGGCTTGTGATAAAGCATACTCGCAAGCCAGGGTAAGTGCTCGAAATTCGTCAAGATGAACGACTCTTTATGCGCGAGGCGAAGTTCTAGCCGAAGCAGCATGGAACGCTTGTGGGCAAGCAATCACTACCCACTGTGTTCAAAATTGAGCAGAATCGATAAGTCGATTGAGGGCAATCAAAACGTGGCTGCGGCTGCGGTTTTCGATTTTTCTTTTTGGGCAGAGATCGATTTTGATGTGCTAGGTGGGTGAAGGGGTGAGGGTAGTTAGCAATTTTATTAGTGGTTTTTTTTTGTTTAGGCCATTTGGTAATATATTGTAATGTAATATATCGTTATCTAATTTTATTGCTATGATTACATTGTTATCTAAATAATGGTTTAATCACCCAAGTTTGAGGTACATGACGAACGATAATTACGATATTATAACGAAAAAAGGGTTAATAATTCAATACAAATAATCAGTATGACAGGTAGCCAGTTTTTTTTCGTTACATCCATATTTTTTCTAAATATCGTGTAGGTCTCGCCTACACCTGCCTGCTTATAGGAGAAGTCTTCAGTCTTCCTCACTTCGAATCTCGAATAGTTGCTATGCTTGATTTAGCTGGCTCCGGGCAGAAGTACTGGCTATATCACTTTGGTATTTCGGATAACTCGAAATGCCATAGTGATTGAAAAGGCCCATTCTGACTTGATTGAATAGAAACCCGGTAGCGACCGTAAGCGATTCTTGTTTTGAAGGTAAATTCTGCAATATCTCGGTTATCAATATTTATGCTTTATTCTTTGTGGAACTTCAGTTACTAACAACATCTATCGAAAAATTACCTAGTTGGAGGAGAATTGAATGCGCGCGTAGACCACGATGTCTCCACAATAAACTCGTTTGCAAATATGGTGTTGGAATCCAGTGCGCCAGTGAGAATATCTTTTTCGCTTTGCCGGAAGGCATGAAATTCTTATCACTAATCCATTCTTCTGGCATTGATGAAAATATTTAATCACTTGGAACTTCACAGATAACCAGTATTTCAGCCAGGCTAAATTGTTTTGAAGAAAAAGGTTTACGGTAAAATTTTGCAACTTTGTCCATGAATATTAAAAATAATTTCACTTCATTTCTTTCTAATTTTCAATTTATCTTCCTTATTGCTGTGAATATTGGCTTTATTTTAAAATTTTTTGTGATTTTCTTATTATCTGATTTACATTAAATATCTAAGTCAGCGATTTTCTTGAATCTTTAAATTTCGGTAAGGTCCAAAATTTCTCATCTATCATTCAATTACTTCAAATGTAATTCAATCTCTTTCTGGGAAGTTATTTGGATTTTCAGACTTTAAAATAAATTGTTTGGAATGATGGCTTATGATAGATTTCTGATGACGGTTTATTCTGTTTTATATGGGTTTTTATGATTTCCGTGTCTCAATATTTTTTTCACCTTTCTTGTATTGAAATCTGGACAAATAAAAGTTTAAATTAAATTGAATTTTATTGTGAATGGCTTTCTGTTGATTTTTTGCTTACAATATTTTTTATTATATTCGAAAATCGACCGGTCTGTTTGCCATATTATTTTGACGAATAGCAAAGGTTTTCCAATTCCTTTGCTATTTTCAAATATAATCACTCGTTTTAAATTTTGAAGAAATGGAATTTAAAAAATTTCTAATGCAGATTTTCACGTTTGCCCTAATTTCATATGTATTTTAAATGTTTTCTTGTTCATAGCCTTCGTTTTCCATCTAAAATTATTGTTGTCCTTTTTTTTGTTTATATATTATATATTAATTTGAATGCGTTTTACTTGTTGCTGATGAAAATCAAAAATTAAAAATAAAAATGCTTAAAAAAAAGAAAAATTTTCTCTGATTTTTCTTCTTTACTTGTTTGATTCTTGCTCGGGTTTTGTGGATTTTTTTCAAATGTTCGAGTTTTGTGGATATTTTTCGAATTTTCATTTTATCTTATGAATATTTCACATTAATCTAATTTTTTTATTTTTTTGTGAGCTTCAACAAATTATTCATTTCGTACAAATCTTTATTGCATTTTTTTATCATTTAAAATTTTTCTTATCATAAATTCTACGATTTTTTCTGATTGTAAGTATATTATTAAACATTACTAAGCATCCAAGTCTTATCACTTTTTTTTCAAATTTTTTTTGATTTTGATAAAATCTATGCAGTTCTTCTTGCATTGGTAATTCATATATAATATAATTCATATACTTAATTCAAGTGAAGCCATTCAAAACCCAAAATTCCATCTGAATAGGCTTTATATTTTTTATAGCCACCGAATGGGTAATGATGGTTGGTTGCATTTGGCTTCAGTTGCAGCAGGCTTATCTGTCTTAGCTGGAGGTTTAATTTTTTACGAAAGAGTAAGGCGCTTAATAAACCGAAATAATTTGCAGGTGAAGTTGCTCGGGTATGCTTAAGTTTTCTTTTTTCTCTTCCAATATTTTGATATATTTCGTTTTGAAAAGGTTTTTGATTTTTGCTATAAAAAAAGAGGGCTTTAAAATGCATTAAAAAATTTTTTTTAAAATTTGTAAGAATACTAGGAAAAGATAACAAAACAAAAAGAAGAAAGTATTGGTCACTTTGTTTTGGCTCGATTATTACTTGTAAAATAAGGAATTTTACTTAAAAAAAAATAAGGAGAATTACTTAGCGGTAAGGCACAATTGGGATTTACTCAGCTTCACTAGGATTTTTTAACAGCGGATCAGGAGAGAATTCTTGACTCGCAAGACGACAATCCGTGCAAAACAATTCAACTGAGTGTCGTGTTTCCTACTATAAGAGAGAATTTTTCCTAATAATAGAAATTCAAATTCAAATTTTATTTGAAATAAAATTTTTATAATTTTCTTCTTTTTTTACTTGCAGTGATAAAATAGGCGATCTTCAAATAGAATTAGCTCGACAACGTGAAATTTTTTTTGCCTATTTGAATCAAACCGAAGACGGGCGAGATTTCTGTCGTATGTTTAACGGTTTTTTTTGAGCCACTTATATCAGTGATAAATATTATTCATTAATTAAATTTAAAATTAATTTTTATATTTAAATAGTATTAACATTTTCGATGAATTCGATGATTTTATTTACAGAACGAATGGTTTTTGCTGATTCAAATGATATACCAATATCTAACGAAGAATTTTTCGACGCGCATGATTCGCTGTACGTAATTCAGTTTTTGATTAAATTTAATTTGCTTTAGATTTTTGGATCTTTTGGATTTTAAAAATTCGACTAATTCATTCATTAATTATCTTTATTAATTATAAATTTTAATTTTCTTCTAGAAATGACATTGTGAATGACAATAATCAATTAATGTTGGTTAAATATAAACAGGTAATTCATATTTATTTATTTATTCACCATATTGCTCGAGTTTCATTGTAATTGGATTGGTTTTCAGTTGTTGTTGAACATAACGAAATTATTCGAAGAGGAAAGAAATGATTTAGTTTATGAAACCATAAAAGAAGTAAGTTTTTATTAGAGAAATTATTGCATTTCCAAGCTCCATAAAAGGCTATTTGGAATAAATGATAATTTAAGTGAAAATTTCTTTATATGAACTATATTCGTCTCATATTTCATCTTTTATCTTTTCTTATTATTTTTCTATTATTCATATCTGAACAAAATAAAATATTAAATTTTATTGTGATTGGATTTCTAATGAAAAAATAATCTTTTGCATTTTTTTAGGAACTAGAAAAACCTTTATCGACTCATTTACGTGCCGAATTACTGTGGCGAGCTGCAAAAGCTTGCCATTCTATATCAAATACGATCGATTCGAAAGATTCGAGGAAAAAAGAATGGATTTTTAAAGGTTTTATTTTGGCTCCAATTTCTTATAAATTTTTATATTTTATAATCATTATATTTTTTAAGATTTTCATTTATATTTTCTTACTTTTAAAATAATAATAATATATATCGCAAGAAAAAAAACTTATCTAAAAAACTTAGAATGGATAGAAATGAAAAAAATTTTTAGGAGTTGAATTCGTAACTGAAGCTGTAAATATCACTGATGCAAATTTTGATGTGTTGAAATGGGCTGCCATACTAATTGGTGAATCAACTGATTTTTTATCTTCGTCTGGGAAAATAAAACAAGGGCAACTTTTCAAGGTAAATACGTATTAAATTATATATCATTATAAATATATGTAAATAAATAAATATATATAGATATTTTCATAGATATAGATATAGATATTTATAAATATTTAAATATATATAGATATTATAATAAATATATATAGATATAATAAATAAATATATATAGATATTATATATATTTTCAGTCTTTTCAAATAATTTTTGTTGATTACTTTTTTTATTTATTTTTTATTTATTTTCTTATTTTTGTTTTATTTTTTGTCGATTATTATTTGTTGTTGCCTATTAGTCGTAATATTTCTTGTTAATAAATAATTCTTTTTATTTTTTTATTAAATTTATTAATTTATTCGAAATAAATTTGTTTTTTTTAAGGAATATTTAGATAAAGCGATTGCACTGAAACCAATGGAGTATACACTTTTGCATATGCGAGGCCGTTATTTTTACTCGATTGCAAATCTTTCATGGTTGGAGCGTAAACTCGTTAATACGTTGTGTCCTTCAATAACTGCTACCATTGATGATGCACTCAACGATTTTCTGAAGGTTAGTTCTTTACGTTTTTACGTTTGATAAATTCGGAAAATTAGATATGAAAAAAAAATTAGATAAAAAAAAATGAAAATCGAAATTTCAAATATTTCTGTTCCGAATTTCTATTTCTATTTCTGTCATGTTTTTAAAGATTTTTCAACATTTGAGGTAGAGGACCTTAAACCAGATGTCCTAATCGACAATCTTCTATTCTTAGCTCGTTGTCTTATTTCAAAAAATGACAAAAAACGTGCAATGATGTATTTGACAAGAGCAAGTCATTTGACACCTAAAAATGAAGCTGAAAACCAGGTATTAAAAGAAGTAAATGATTTATTAACTCGATATAAACTTAATTGTTAGTTATTATTATTGAATTATTAGATATGGCGAAAATTTCACCCTTTCAAGACTGGAAAAAAGTTCTAAATTTAATAAGTTCTAAGTTTTCTAAATTTTCTAAATTTGATTGGAATTTCCTGATAAAAAAATTTCCCGATTTCCCGATGATTATTTCTCTATGATACTTAAAGCTTTATTATTGTTGTTTTTCTTTTTTTTTATACTTTGATTCCATCGGAATATAAATTTCATCAGTTTCTTTTTTTTTTGTTTCTTTGGCAGTTGATGTTCCAAGAATCAATAAAACGTAAGTCGTTTACAGGAGAGAATCTACAGTGATTTTTAAAATTTAAGATTAACCAGCAAGGAAAGAGAATTCATAAATATCCATGAACATCCTCGCTTTAATTCACATATATGATCCTAACTGAAAGTAACCAGCAGAAAACAAAAAATAAATCCTTATATGAATTATGTCTGAGACCAGATTATCGTCATTCGATGCCTAAATGCCTCAAAAGATTTTGATTATTAATGATTTAAATCCGTTTAAATGAAATGTTGCTTGGTTTATAGTTTTGTAGATTATTTTTAAACTGCAGCAATTAAAATACTGCGGAATTAGCTAAATTTTTAGGCATTGAAAAAAAATTTTCAATTATTATAAAAAATATCGCTATTTTATGCAAATTATGCAAATTTAAATGAAAAGTGAAAGATTTCAATTTCTCTATTTCTCTATATTCCAATTATTCAAATTATAATTAATTAGCGTATATTTTTTTTGATATATTTTTATTATTCATATCACATAAAACGGATTTAATCTAATCAGTCTAATCAGCAATATTGTTTGAAGGAAAGAAAAGAGGAATTCGAGAGGATCTTAAAGGTGATTATGGATAAAAACAGGTTAATATATTATGATATTCTAGCAGGTATTTTGGAGAAGCTGTAGATCGGATGATAGATGCAAGGATTTTCAATCTGCTCGTTCTCATACTATCGCTAATAATAGAAACTATTTCTTTTTATTTGGAAAGGTAAGAGAAGAATGAGGAAATATCGCTAGCCGAATTCTTTTATCCTCAGAATATTCGCTGGCTAATATTTTTATCATTTTTGTAGGCCATGCTTCAGATTTTCGGAATGAAAATCTTCAAAATTTCCAAAATTTCAGGTTTACAAATTTTTTTTCTAAATTATCTTTGGTTTTCTTATTTTTACTACATTTTTATTTGTTAATAGTTTTCGGCTGAATACATTTCTGCAGTAGAATTTTATTCTTTTCTAGAAAATAGACCGTTGAAATTTTGAAAAAATTCCAGGAAAACACTATAGGATTTAGGATTCTTAGAGAAATTGTATTGTTATCACATAATTTTATTTGCAAAGATTATTATAATGGATACGTAAACAAACATTTATCAATGCTTGAATATTTCAAAATAGATTTATTCTACTGATAAAGTATTGATAAAATAATTTAAGGCGAATAATCATACAAAAATTTCTCAAGAGAAATTATTCGTGATTATTCATTGTTATATTATTATTTAATATTTTTTGTAATATTTTATCAATATTTTTTTTGAAAATTGCATTTCATTGAATGAATAAATAGAAAAAACTGTTAGCACTTATTATTTCTAGTCAGGCCCCATTTCTTTGGCCGTTACTAGCAAAAAATTTTTTTGGCCAAGTGTTGCCTATTGATAGGAATACATATGGGTTGGTAGTACCATACAGATTTTTATAGGTCTTTTCTTCTGTTACATAAATTTATAATTAAAGCCGTTCGTTTATTCCACAACCATTGCTTTAAGGTTCGTTAATATTATTAGCAAAAGAAAATTCCTATATGCCGCATTATTTTCATTTTTTATCAATAAGTAATTAACAACCTTAAAGTTTTACAAATCATCAAAAATAAATTTATCACTAAAAGAATCAGCTTATGCAAAAAATCTATCACCAAGTAGCTGTCTGATAAAAGCGGTCTCATTCTGCTACAAAGAACGAAATCCACTAGAAGTGTTAAATACTAAGCACTAACTAATTATGAACTACAATAATAAACCAGATGAGCGAAACAACAACCAAATTTATTTTAACTCATTTTCTAGCTAAATTTTGATAAAATTTAAAAAAATTTAATAAAATAAAAATTTAAAGAAAAACGATGAAGAAAAATGATTAAAAAACTATAGAGGAAAAGGTGAAACAATGAAATTTTTCTATTATTTATTTAGATAAAAGAAATTTAGGTAAAATTCATTTTTCCTTTGCAATATTTTTAGAAAAAAATGGATTAAAAAACACGCCATAGTAAGGCAACTATAATAAAGGCAACTATAATACTATAGCAACTATAGTAAGATTAAACTAAATCAATGCTAAGGAATATAAAATTCATCTTAATAAAATAGCTTTTATATAAAATAAGTTTAAATAAAATATTAAATAAAATAACTTTAAAGATTTTCCAAAAATTATAGAAGTAAGAGCGGAAAGTACGAAATATTTTAAAGGGCGGCAAAAATCGACAAAAAAGCGAAAAGGCGGTAAAAATCGACAAAATAGCGAAAAATAGCGAAACTTTTAAATTATCATTAAATCATAAATTTTTTGCTGAAACCTCATTTTTCTTGAAATTCGTCTTCAGTTAACAGTCAGAAAACACAGATTGGATTTTTTTTCTGTAGTGGAAATAAACTTATCATTAAAAACTAAATCAGAAAAGCTGTGTCTGAATGTTTGAATTTTTACTTCCTCTTGTGAAGTCGGTACATTTCAGTTATCAGCGAAGTTAGGAAATCAAATATGGTAAGTATTGTAAGTAAACGAACCCAACTTGAACACTTTAATACACTTAATATTAAGCGTTTCAGATTATAAATAAATTATTAGAAAATTGGTTTATAATTATCGAGAATATGGAGATTTGAAAGTTATTAATATTTCACCTTCCTCTTCATCTCACGAAAAGAATAAAAATTTTGGAATGATCTGAGTCGACAAAATCTTTCGCATTTCGTGCAATGTCTGTAAGATGATGGCGAATTTCCATTAATAAAATACGCTAAACAATTAAAGAAGTAGTCAAAAGAAACAATATTTCTTGCGCAAAGTGTTTTTTCACATTATAATCAGTTAACTACTCGATGTTCCAATCAAAAATTATCTTTCTTTTCTCCTTTATTCGCACATCTGTCAGTTAATTTGTGGAACCATCTTATTTACCTGTCAAAGAAACAACTATGAGAAAGTTCCTCTTGGATAAAAAAAATTAATTTTTTATCCAATAATCTTCTATCCATCTGCATGATATTGTAAGTCCAACCCACTCTAAATGGGCAATGTATAGAGTTGCTCCCAGAATCACGTTTTTTGGAATTATTAACTAAACACTCTCCTTTTCGGCATTCGCTGTTTCGAATCTGTTAAATAATTGTTTTCATATATTGTCGTAAATTGTAATTTCCGATAAATATTTTCGTTCATTGTTGCAAGTATACTTTTTAGTTTTCAGACATTATTGATAAAAGTAAACAAATAAATAAATTACACGAAGCCGCGAAGAATTGCATCTATTGCTTCTCAATTCACGTTTTTTTTATTAATTATTGCGTTTGTTTTTATAAAGCATTTTAATAGAGTTTTGAGATAGTCTGAATAGTTTGAAATTTGGATCATTTTATCATCCGAATATTCGTATCAGTAATGTAATTCATTCATTTCGACTTGATTTATTTTGTAATTCCTTTTTTTATTATTTTTTTAAAATTATTGGCTTTCTTTTATTAATAAATCACTATTTTCATTTGCGTTATTTTATTTTTATTAATAGGATTTTTCCAAATTTACAATAATAAAGATGGAAACTAAATGGAAAATAAAATGGGAAAAAAATGGGAATATAAAAAATGAAACAATGGATTTACAAAATTTAAGAGAAAATGAGAAAATGAATATATAAATAACTGTTGATATGGAGCACTTGTTGGCATTTTATTCTATTGAGGTCACCTTTATGAGGTTACAATTTGATAATCAAATACTAAAGCACTGCAATGAAAGCAGTTCTGCTCCCAATTTTCAAGAAAGATGACAGGGTATACTGTGACAATTATCGAGGAATTAATTTACTAGATATCTCAGAGATTTTTGTTTCCATTTTACGCAATAGACTTATGGAAGTAAGAGACAGCATTATTAGCCCTAATCAAGGTGGATTCAGACCGGACCGAAGCATGGTGACCAAATATTCACATTAGGAAAGGAAAGAAAGGAAAGGAAAGGTGAAACATCGCTTCAAACATTCACAACCTAATTTCACATGTTTCAGCGACTTTACCTTCAATTCGATTAATAGAACTGCGCTTTAGAGGGTGATGAAATATGATGCAGTCTCAGACATTCATCTCATAAAGGCGTTTTCAAGGTACATCGGTACACGCATATGGATAACTGATAGATCCTTTTAAAATAAGAACTGGTGTCCGTCAGGGTTATTTTTTCCCCTACAATATTTAACTATGCGATAGACTGGATAATGGACATCGCTTGTCGGCACTCAAATGGTATACAAATCAGTCCAGAGCATCGCAATATAGATCTTGAATATTGTTGTAGTCCTTTTTGCTGATAATTATGACGAAATGCAAATAAACAACGTGTAAACAACTGCAGCGAGAATAGGACTTAGAGTCAATCTAAATAAAACGAATGCCTTTTCGTCTTATGTACAAGAAGCTGGTAAAATGCTTTTTTTTATAAATTCATTGCCGGTTAAGAAAGCGCTTGATTTTAAATACCTTAGATCCACTCTAATACCGAATAGCCAGACAATAGACGATATTACAACCTGGATAATGGCAGCGAGAAATGCATTCTTTCCGTTAACGAAGCCTTTATGGAACTCAGTTGCAAATGTAAAAATAGATTGTTGACTTTTATTGCAAATATGTGGCTAGCGACATTGTTCGCAACCCAAGAATTCTTCAAATGATTCCTTGATGAAAATCATAATGGCAACAGCGGAGCTAACCTAAACTAATATCGATAGGATCGATAGGACTTAGTTTAATCCGTTCAAAATAAATTATTAGATATGAAATAAATCAGATATGAAATATCTGACACTATTCATAATTCATTATTTACTTTTCGAAAACAGATAACTCGTCAAATGATAAGGCAAATGATTATATATTGAGGAAAATCACTACTACCTACTACCATTTGATTACGCAAACTCTTCATCTATAAAATTTCCCCTCTTAGGGGAAATACGACTATGAAAGTCTTACAAAAAAATTTTTCTTTTATCAGTCATGATGAATAAAAAGAGGGAGATCATTGAAATCACAGTAAAATATGTGCAAAAATTAAAAAAATTCACCAAAGTCACCAAAAAACAACTTAAACACTGTCGTTCTCGGTGCAAATAGTGGGTGTCGGTGATGAGCGCAGAGAAGCGCTTTTGTGCTAATTACTCGGTCAATGACCTCTTTTAATCAAGTATAAATCAAGTATAACTTAAAATTTTATTAAATAATAAGGAGGCTTAGATTAGAACTGAAATTTAAAAATTATTCGTTTTGAAAAAATATCGCTTTATGATATTTATTAAAAATTTATAGAAAAATAAATTAACCTTTTTAAATTTTGGAAAAACTTATATTTTTAAATTTTTATGAAAAAAGCAATTTTTTTTTAGATAAAATACAACAAGAAAATGGAAAATGGAAATAGAAAAAAGGACACTTTTCTATAGAATATTTTGTAAATGAAAATTTTTGCCAGTTTTTTCCATAGTTTATGAAAAACTTTTTAAGATCTCGGCACAACTTTTATGAGCTCACAAAACCAATAAAATTTTTTCTCACTTCCTGTGCGTGGTAACTGATCGTCCTCAACCTCGAATCTTCTACTGGAGGCCTAGGGGAGACTGAGGGAGGGCTTCGGCGCATATTCTTAGCTATACGCCGGATAGAGATCTTTGGTGTTTTTCCTGGAACATGCTGAAGCAACTTTTCTAGTGGTCACAATTCCGAGTGATTCGATTATCACTGGGCTTACTTCGGCTTTTGCTTTCCACATCTTCTCTAGTCCTTCTCAATTTTTGATTAGAATTACGCCAACTTACTGATTAGAACGTCTCTCTACGGATCTTTTCTAATATTTTTCAGTGCACTTGATCGTTTTGCTTTTGCTCTGATACGGCGCCCACTGCGTCACCAGCCGATTGGTGCCACGCCAGGCCACTAACACCACAACCAACCCACATTTCTTCATTTCGTCTCCCCTCTTCTCCGTTTTTTCATTCTTGAATTCCGGTTGTACGATTGATACCAATTTTGCACTGCATTACACAATCTTTTAAAAAATTCGTCTGCAAAATAGAATGCCACGTCGGCTTATAATTTCATTTATCATTTATTTAGTATTGTTTCATTTTATTGAAATTTGAGAGGTTTGGGAGAGAGGGGGGCTAAAGTGAATTATCTAATCTTGCAATCAGTGATAATGAATCTGATATTTGCGAATTATCTAATCATGCGCTGGCAATCAGTGATAATGAATTGGGTACTTTTTAATTATCTAATATTGCGCTGGGCGATCAGTGATAATGAATTGGGTGCTTCCGAATTCTGAATATGTACTGTGTTCATTTATCAATGAAAACAAAGGAAATTTTCAGTTTTTTTCCGAATTTCAGGCTTTTTTTGCGTAGAATTTTGAGAAATAGACAAATCATTTAAGACAATCATTGTTAATAATTTTGCTTCATCTATGCCGTAACAGTTATTTCAATGGTTTCCTATACTCTTCTTCGAGTAAGTCTTTATTTTACAAAAGAATTTATTTAAAAAATTTTTATTGCTTAATTATTTTTTTATCGCAAAATATTTGCTGCTTTATTTTATTATTTTATTTAATAATAAAATATTTAATATTTAATAATAAAATATTTAATAAAATAAGTATTTTAATAATTTCTTTCATTCATCATTTGAAACGTTTTAAAATTGCTATAAAATATAAGAATATTAGTTTTTATTTGCTGTTTTTTGAAAAAAAACTCCAAATGATAGTACTATTGCCAATTGATAGCTAATTTTATTGTCTAAAGTTTTTAGTAGAAATAAAAGTAAATTGAAATTTGGCAGAAGCCGAATTCAATCCCCCTAATAGTGACTTTTCCACTTATTGCTGAAATTATTTTATCTTTTCCTTATTTTTCGAAGATATAACGCGAAAGATCCATTTTTTTTATAAAAGATTTATATAAACTTCACATTTATGTTATAATGGCTTAGTGCGATGTTACCGCACAGGAATAGACTTGTCTAAAAATCCCGCTGACGGCTTACCTGTACTTCTATCGCCAAAGGACTTTCTGACATATTTGTCCTGTGCGACAAGCTAGCGGAGCGAGTCTAACCAGTAATGCTGAGGGCTATTAAAAGAAAAAATTACGTTATAATATTTTGAAAAAATTTGAAAAATCACTGTGGTTCATTTTCTAATATTGATAGTTCTATTTCGATTCTATCTTTTTTAAATTATAATAATTTAATAATATTATTAATTTTTGTATTTATAAATTTCTTTGTATTCTAGGTATATCTTTTGTGCCTTGCACCGAATTTTATTTGGCTGGTTAATACGCTAGTTAAAAGAACTAAATTATGTGGCGATGAAAATTGTACAGGTTTCGTTTATTTCTTGTTTTATAGGATTACCAACAAGATCAGCTACGAAATAATCGTAAAGGAATTCATAATGGTACCGATGATGTAATATAATATAATTAATATTGTAAAAACTAACGACCGACTGGATAGAATAAATTGTAAATTGTTATTTTGGTATAAATAATATTGGTTGTTTTTCTTAATGGATTCAAAAAAAATAGTAATTATTCTCGTTTGAACATCATTGAACTTTATTCTCGTTTGAATAATTTTCAGAAAAATTATTTGAATCAAAAGTTAATCGAATTGACAAGATCAACCATGAGTTATTTTTAAATCCTAGTGCTGATGATATAATAAATGTATATGCTATAAAATTCAGCGATCGAACAGATCTAATAGAAGGAAGTGTGCGTTTTCTGACAATAGATGCTTTTTATCTTTAAAAAATTTATAATGAAATTATTGAAATTATTTATCCTATTAAAGCGTTTAAATTATACCGTTGACTTATTTTTATTTTTTGTTTGAGCTTTAGCTTTTCATGACTGCTTGATTTTCATTTTTTTTTCCAGTTATCAAGAGATCCTGGAAAACGTGGAAATTTTTTTTTGCTTCATATCCATTTGGGTGAATACGTTCAATTTCTGAAAAACGCAATTCTGTCAAATAAAACAATGTTTGTAGTGAGTGCTGAACCTAGCGATATTAATGGTATTCCATCGAAGGAAAAACTGATTGGTTATTTTTTTTGTACTGATAGCATTATTATGTTTTTAAATATATTTGATTTTAAGCGAACAATGTTTAGGTATAAAATCTGCATTACCTGAATTGATTAAGGATTATGAGGTCTATTCAGAAAGATATAGCAATGCTGAAAACATACCACCTCTTCCAAAAATTGATTATGCTGCATTAGGCTATAATCCGGATGAGAAAGGTGACTACATTTTCTTATCATTTGCATGAAGTAATACAATAACTTAATGTAAAATGTGAGTTTGTTCAAAATTTATTCACAGTGAATGGAAATTTTGATTTATTTATTCAAGTTACCTTTATTTCAAATATGATTTGAATTGTTTATTTTCTTTAATAAGTTTGGATCATTTGACTTATTTATATTTTATTTTTCAGTTCATGGTCATTTTCATGAACACATTCATGTTTTCGATCATTCTCATGAACACAGTTATTCTAATGTTCATGTAGAACCAGCTTCCTCTTTTTCTAATAAGCAAGCATCCGAAAGCCGTCATTCTCACGAACACATACATTCCAATGTTCATGTAGAACCTGCTTCCTCGTTTTCTAATAAACAAGTTTCTGAAAGTTCTGAAAGCAGTCATCATCATGTGCATGAACATCCTGAACAGGCGCAAGTGTTCCTTAATGTTGAACAAGGCTCTGCGCCTAATCCTACTCCGTCATCTTTGAATAAAGATGCTCAAGCAAAAAATCACGACCGAATCAATTCAATCCCACCACTTAATGTCAGTGGAAAGACTAAACAAGGAAATAATGAAAACCCAGTAAATATTCCTACTAATCAGCCGTCTTTATTAAAAGATAATCTTAAGAAACCCGACCATAAACCCGACGCGGTAACCAGTGGAGAATTTCAGGTAGCATTTGTTCATAAATGATTTTTGAAATTTATTTTTGTCGGTTTACTTTACTTTACTTTCTCATTTTTTAGGGATCGAAAATCACGGTTGAGGATGAGATTGACCGATTTTTGCGCGAAGAAAGCACTAGTAATATTACTAATTATACTGAAAAATTAATTAATGGTATCTTCATGAATTCTAATGTATAATTAAATGAAAATTGTTTTAGATATTAATATATTAATTTATTAATATATGTGTCAAAAGTGTCTTAGAGGAAATTTCTTTTAGAAAATGTAGCATTACCAGCTCAAAGCAATATCGAAATTAATTTGGCCACACCACAAACTCCTTCATCAAATGCGCTTGAGGGAGGATTTAATCCCTCAGAATTGAATTCTAAAAATCCAGCAGTTTCAACTCTTCGTCCTTTGCCATCATTAAAGGAACTGGAAATTCCTCCAAATCCCACAGCTTCAGAAGAAAATCCATCTCCTAGCAGTCAGGTAGGTTGATACGGTTTTTCCACAGTTTTTCCACAGTTTTTTAAAAGCCTAATTGCTGTGAGCTTCAAATTTTTAGTTAGAGGAAGTTAAAAAGATATCGAATGAGCAAAAAACGTCATCCTCGATTGATTCGGTGGATATTCATGTTCACACAAGTCATTCACAAAAAAGAACCGATGTTGTTGATGAAGATGGATTGGTTAGATATAAAAAAATTGGATTATAATATTAAATAAATCTATTATTTTGAATCAAACAAATTAGGCTTTTTCAATGTTCAATTCAACTTTAGGGGTATTGTATCAAAGGAGAATGCAATAGGGCGTTTCCAAACGATAAACCGCACAATAACAATACGGTCAGAAGTTGGTTCAGCCGATTTATTGACATTTTTCGTTATATGTTGCCTTCTCAACTGGCGAAAATTGATGATGCGGGTGTGTTTTTTTTATTTTCACGTGTTGCTTGTTGTTTTTGTGTTGAAATGTATAATTTAATTTACTTATTACTGTCTTTTTTAGGTGTATTAGTTACTTTGTTTGTTCCCTTATCGCTATTATTATATTTTTTTCGAAATGTACTACTTGGTGATGGACATGAGCAAGATATATTTGATAGGAGAAGATTGCATGATGCGCTCACAATCATAAAAGAACGTGATGAACAAATTAAAGTATAGAGTATAGCTTTTATTTCTTAATTTCTTGATTTTTATTCTATTTTTTCTACGTTTTTAATTTTTAATTAATTTTTTATTACTATTTGGCCTATAGCCTTTTTGCCTCTTTGATTATTGATATTTGTTATTGATATTTTAATTTTACTTTTAGCTTTTTTAATTAAAATTTTTGTATAATTTTCTGATATATGTATTTCAAGTTTTTTCAGATGCTTCGCATGGAAGGTGAAAAGACGCGTATGCTGGCCACCAAAGGTGAAAATGAAAAGCTGGAAAAAATGGAACTGGAATTAGGACAAGAGCGATTGCAATTGCAGCAAATGCGGAATAAGTACACTATTTTACACTATTTTAAACAATAATAAATTTTAAATAATTTTAAAATATGTTTTGGAATAGTTTTGGAATACTGTGAATATTATATAATTCATAGCTAAATTTTTTCCACATAGCCTCATTGTAGGGTCCGTATGCTTGAGGACGATAATGATGAGCTGAAAGGTGAGATAGAAAACATGAAGAAAAATGCTGAAATGGAAAAGCAAGCCCAAAAGGATTTCCGAGAAGAAAACAAACAGCTATTAAGGAAAATTGAGGTTTATTCTACATCGAGAATATTTGTATTTGGCATTTGCATTTTGCATTTTGCATTTTGCGTTACATTTTCCACTTATTAGATATATTTTCAGATGCTTAATGCGCAAATCTCCGAAATGCAGTCGACAATGGAGGTTGCACGTGACAAAAGTGAACGGCTAGAGGAAGAATTAAATGATAAAAATTCCATCATAAAAAATTTAGAAACTGATGCCAAATCGCATATTATTGAGATCAAGAAACTTAAGGATCAGTTTGAGGTGACCAAAAAAACTGGGATTTTTCTAATTCTAAATTCAATATTTCACGTTGTACCAATTAGAAATATCATATATTATATCATATAAGTGTCATATTTAGACAGCGTTGGCGGAAAATACTTTATTACGTGAGCGTGTTGAATATTTGCAAAATGAAACAGCACAATTGTCTGAGATGATTGTCGAAATGAGTAAAGAAAATGGTAAAACAAATGATATTAATGACGAAGCAAAGGGAATTTTTATCTCAGCCAAGAACAAGCCAATCGTTGACCAAACAGATGGTATTTTTTTTTGATTTATTTCTAATTTCATGAAAATGGCATTCATATTTCATGTTATTATAACAAAATCAGGTGGTTGGTCGGATATGGATGACTTAGATGTAGATGCAAGCATTGAGGATATTTCAAAAAGATCGACAACTAAGAGCAGCTTGAAGCAATTTACAGATGTTATAGAACTTGCTCGAATAAGAGCTCAAGTTAAACGTCTTGAAGCCGATTTGGAACAAGCCAAGTAAATTTAGATAACTTTCCTATAATTAATTAATTTTCTATAATGTATTATATTATTTAATATATAATAATCTTTATCTTTGTTGTTCATATGTTCTTTTTTAGTTTTTTCTGAAAAAAGTTTTGATTAACGTCCTTCATGGTTATCGCATTGAATTATCGAGTCATTTAGATTGCAGTTGCAAAAAGAAAAGAATGCTTCTGAACATCTTCTAAGGAAAGTTGAATTGGCTGAAAGTGAAACATTTCAACGCAAAAAAGAAACTGAAGCCAAAGAAGTTGAAAGAATTGATGCACACCAGCAATGTAAAAAAATGTTGTCTATGGTTGAAGATAGGGTATGCTGATTGACATCCAAAAATATGTTGTTTTATGATTAAACCATTTGACTATCAAGTATATATTATTTTTTAATTTGCCCAGTTATAAGATTATTTTAAGGATAGTAAAATTCGCCGTATGGAAGAGCTAATTGAAAGACATCGAGATGAAGTGGGACATATGCAAATTGAGATCAATATGCTTGCTGAACAAAAGAGGATGGTTGAACAAAAATTGACAGTAAATTATTTCAACATTTTTAATAGTCAAATCCCACCATATTTCTTTTTTTGTACCCCTCGTTATATACCAAAAGGTAATATTTCCTTACACATTTAATAAAGTAGAAGAATGGGATAATTTTTCAAATTTATAATCGTTTTATTTCATCTCAGAGGACGATATTTATTCATTATCTATAAAATGTTATCTTTTTATAGGAAACTGAACAAGAAGTCAAACGGTTAAAGTCAGACAGTATTCACTTTGAAACTAGTCATTTCCACGAAGTTCAAAAATACAAACAGAAGATTTTAGCATTGCAAGAAGTTAATTTTTTTGAAGAATTTTTTTTATTTTTTTATTGAAATTTCTGAATTTCTGGGAATAAAATTTATAAAAATTTATTTTCTAAAAATTAAAAAACATTTGTTTAGGCTATACAATCGCCACAACTATTTTCCGATTCCATTAGTCCAGTTGCTATCAGTTCCATGAATGCATCGGGTAATTCGTCTTCCGACAGAGATTACAGCAACACATTGCTGTACCGTATTAATCCTTCAGCAAAAAAAACTGTTCCCGTACTCTGGGGCGATAATAATAATGAATCTTCTGAGGTTCTGACTTTCTTATTTAAAAGTATATTTATCTATTATGCAAACACACATTTTGCATTTTGTATTTCAGATGTTTTCAAGCAGAGAAATACCAGTTATCTCGAAGGAAGGAGATGATCGACGTGCGATTAGATCTCGTCGCAGCCATCGAGAACGGGAACATTTTGATACTTCTGATGGCTTTGTGCGTCACAAAAAGGTTTTATAATTGATTGAATTATATTGTTCTTCTTCTAACAGCTTTCACCAATACTGATTAGATTCCACTGGCTGTCCATATATCGCTGGTCCATCTATACTTTTAAAATCTTTCTTTATCATATCAGTTTGGATCTATCGTGATCTACTTATGCATCCCAGTCTCCACCGATTATGACCATATCACCTTTCGGTCGAGATTTCACTAATAGTTGAAGTTCCACATAAAACTTAACCTCATGATTATCTGCTCATAAAATTGGCGCATATGCACCGAAATATTGCTGAAAGCTATCATAGACTAGGCAACGGTCGTTTTTCAATTTTCAGTTATTCGAACAATCACCCTAGCTAGTGACCATTCTCATCTTATAGTCTCGTTTTACTCCGGATTATTCGCATTTAGCATCTGTGATTATCGGAGGGCGCAGATTTGTATCAAATAGATCTGACCCTTTTATAATAAGGTCAGTTAGGGATAGTGTTATAAGTGGATCCCCAGCAGCCACTTGATTTGAATATAAATTATAATTCATAAAAAATCCATAAAAAATTAAAAATTAAATAAAAAACTATATATTAAAATTAGATAAAAAAACTTTCTTATCTATATTAAACATTTTTTATTGTGAAACAAAATTTTTATTTATTTTTATTTCATTAGAATCGCATGCGATCAAAATCTCATGGTCGAACAATGTTACCTGGATATTTGCTTGCAAAAGAAAAGCCACTTGTAGATACAGACCGTCGCCGAAGCAGAAGTGGTGCTTTATACTATTCCTCAGGTGGATCAAATGAGGATTTTTCTCCACCTCCGGAGATGGCACTTCTTCCCGGTGTTCCTCCTCCGCCTAGCGTCACAGTTAAAAGACCTACTGTTATATCCAGGCCAATAGGTCAGTGTCATTAAATTTTTGTTGTTTATTTATTTATTTATTTATTTATTTAAAATTTATTTATATCATATTTCATATTTATTATTATATTTATTTTATCTATTATGTCATATTTATTTTATCTATTTTAATTACCACTTTATTCCTATTTGGGATTCGGCTTCTACATATAGGAAAATGGAGTGCATCATTTTTAAATTCATTCCTGATATATTTGGTATTCTTAATATTTGGTTTGCTTTGCTTATCCTAATATAAATATCTTGCATTTTTCGATTATTAGTTAATTTTTTATTTAATTTGTTAAAATCCCATTTACTTATAAATATATTTTAATAATAGTGTATATGTCAGTCATATGTCACATTTTACATTTTTTCCAATTTAAGATACCTCAGCATTCTTCAGTTTTAAATGTGATTTTATTTCCAGCCCATTAGCTTTTATAGATTGAGCTTTTAAATGGTCCACCAGGATTTGTAGCCTTAGGAATTGTGGTAATGTATTTGTATTTGTATTAAAAAGTGATATTTTTAACCCACTTGCAGGCAATGAAACATTGGAAAGGCGCGGAAGCTAAACATTTCAATGGCGTATTTATTTATTGTTAATGAGTATTTTACCATTATTGTTATTTTATGGGTTTTTTTTACATCTTTTCAAGAAAAATGTTTGATTGTATTGGACTGAATTGGTTGAGAATTTCTTCGTTGGGTATAATGTGAAATATTTGTATCATGAAATTTTTTAAATTTTTGAAAAATAAAATTTATTTTGAAAAGAATGAATAGTTCCATCAAATTTTCGCAAGAATCAAGATTTTATTTTAAAAGAAAATTTTATTTATGCTTCTTTATTTAAAAAAATTTTTATTAGACAAAATATGCATCTTTATTGGTCATAAAAGGGAATTTTTTTATTATGAAGATTTGTTTCACAAAAAAATCGTGCTATGCATCCACACCTCTGTTCGCAACTATTTTCTGGGCGAAACGATTTCCATTCTAATAAATTAATGGAGCCAGTCAAGCCATAAATATTGTTTTGTTTTATAATGATATTAATAATATAAGCTGATCGAGTGAGGTTTTTTTCAGCCATTTTTTTTTAAAAAATGAAATAATCACGAATGATTTCCAGCTTAACAAGAGAGGTAAAATAATTGTAAAATTGCAATAGAAAGACTAGGAAATAAAATAATGAAAAGACTAAAAAAAAAGATCCCTAATCCCTTATTCAGATCGTTTTTTTATCGTCCTTAAAATTATCCTCGAAAGATTTCATAACAAGCTTCCTTTGTCAGCGTTCATTCATCTTAACTGATTTGATCAACATTTGTCGGAGGATCTTTTGGGAATGCAATTAGAGGTGGTTACTTTCAGGATCTCACTTTTCATAAAAGGTTTACTCCTACCAATGGTAGAGAATCAAACTGACGATGCTTGACGCTAATCGAAACAAACATTGCATTTCGAAACTTTATCCACTCATGTCCACTAACTTAAAATTGAAAGGAAAATAAAAACTTTGGTTCATATCTTGTATTCACAGTATCAATGTAAATAAGTAAACTCACAGCGAGGCGACAATTTAAAAAAATTTGTTACCATATTCAATATCGAATGATGCGGTATAACAACCATTAAGATTTTAAAAAATTGTAAAAATCAAAAATTTTATAAAATAAAAATTTAAACAAAATATCAAATGGAAGACTATCTCAAACAAAATATCAACCATGATTAGACGAGAATCTGTAGAATCCGAGAGATTTTAATAATTTGTATTTATAATCAATTATTTATAATCATTGATAATCACTTTGAATTCATGAATTAAAAATTCATTAAAAAAAACAATTACAAATTATTAAAAAAATATCGACTGGCGCTGCCAAAAAAATTACTAATATTACTAATATCGCGCACTTTAAAATTGTACATTCTCATCATCATCGTATTCTTCTTCATATTGACGCGACTAAAAAACTTGATAGAAGACAGTAATATAAATTAAGTATTCAATACTTTCATTCTCAATTCAATCACATTTTAGTCTATTTCATTTCGATAAAATTAGAACTGACCTGCATGGCGAACTGATTCATTGGATTACGGCCTGTAGAAACTACGCGATGAATGATTCCACGTTGCGGTAACTGCCTAGTATCTGCTTGTGGGATACGATATCTGATACTAGTATTTGTTGGGTTCCTCTATATGGAAAATGATAAGATGACAAAGCACAAAACATATTGCAAATCCTGATTATATAATTAAAATTATGCTTTATAAAAATACCATAGTAAATGTGCCAGGTGGAACTTGTGCTGAACTTCTCTGCATAACAGCATACTGGGTTTGTGAAGATCTAACCATAGCTGGTTGTGCCTCATTGTATGAACGAGATTGACTAGTGATGATTGTATTATGACCCTGATTTCCACCATAGTGTGTGACTGGTGCAATATTGTAATTCACGCTAAAATCTCATACAAACAAAATTTCATAAAAACATGGAATAATAAATAATAATGACAAGAAAATAGTTAAAATCTAAAAATTATTCAGGTAGAAATTTACAAATAAAAGAAAAATAAAAATTCACATTCATTCAACATTCAATATAAATGACTAAAAACCATAAAAAAATAAATGCCATCAAATAACTGACGAACAAACAACAAAAAATTTTAAATATAACTTTCTGGGTTCAGGATTCGCAGGCATATGTGAATGTGATTTTGAAGAATGTTCCATTTGTTCGAAAACATCAGCTGGAAAAAGAAAAGTAAATAGAATATCGAGAAGATGAGAAAAAGGAAGAGAAAAAAAAATGAATTACGGGCAAAAATTTCATCTAAGTGTTCTTGAACAGCTCGTGGTAGAATTTCTTTAAACACAGAACGTTTATCAGGTGCGATTTTTCCAGATTCAAGACCAAGTGCCATACCAAGGCGCTTTAGAACTTCGATGTCATCATCTATTTCAAAAAGACGATCGAAGCTAAAGGAATATTCTGACCTATAAAAAAGAACTTTGATCAAATTCATAAACAAAAAAAATAATCTTCAAAATGTTAGATTTTTAAGAACAACAAGAATATTACGATGCAATAACGTTTCAATGATTTCATAACGAACTTGTCATTTGAGATTTTGCATTCAACACATGCCTTCTTTTCTGTACTGATTACCACAAAAGGAAGATACAATGTTGCTTGATCTTGCTGCGTACTGTCAGATCTACCAGAAGAAATATCGGTTCTACGCTCATTTTCGCGATTTCGTTCAACCAAACATTTAAATGCCACTAACTAGAAAGCAAGAAGTTGGCAAATATTTGAGAACAAAGTAGATTTCACGCTTCAAATAAAATAATATTAAAAATTAAAAAAAGAATAGAGAGCAAACTTGTGTTATTAGATCTTGCAACTGTGCAGTTTTTTCTCGTATCGAATTTTGTAGTTGTATCCTTTCTTCTTTTAATTTAGTACATTCTTGAACAGATGATGTGGGTAAGCCAACCCAACGAATTTCCTTTTTCTCCTTCTCAATAATGTTCATTGCCATGAAAACATTTAATGCATCATACACACGACGGCGTATATTTTTCATATCTTGTTGCTAAAATTGCAACAATTTTTTAACTCCAAAAAAAAATGAAATAGATTGAAACCCCTTTTTTCAACTTTCTTATAATTCCTATGTATCTTCTAAATTATCCAGTTATAACAACAGAAATTATCGACTGAAATTATTGATGCATTAAACAAGAGACCACCCAAAAAATTTAAAATACGGTACAAGAATACCTCGTCACCACTGCAATGATCCTGAGAAGAGAAATATTCATTGACCAATTCGTCAGCGACCTAAAATTTATCCACTTGTTTAAAAGAAAAAATTTGAAAAAATTTCCGAATAGCTATTAGAATACTAACCTCAGAATAATTCGTTCGTCCTTTTAATTGAACCTTTTCACAAACTTTGTGACTAAAATGTCGAAGACCTTTCGATTTTTCAACAGGCCGAGCTGTTTTTCGAGAAATTATTGGTCCGTTTCCAAATTCACTAGGATATGGCCGCTTAATATCGCTATGAGATGAGGATCCAGCAGCACCAATGCGACTTGCAGCAGAAAATCGCTGTAAAGATGTGTTTGTGTTGCCTAATGAAGCAGGCAAAGGAGGTAATGCCGACGCCGGCGGCTGAACCATTGTTCTTCGAGCCACAGCCATAGCCTTAACACTTTCTTTTTGGGTATATGGTTCACCATTTCCTATACAGAGATTCTAAATTCATTATATTTAGTACGGATTCTTATCAAATTTTATAATAGAAATAACAATGTGGATCTAAACTAAATTCTAGAAATTTGGAAATTTGCGTCACATTAAGTCATTCATGTAACTGGTTAAATCTGGGCGGAATTCTGGACTTTTCGCAAAAAAAAATATTCGCAAAAAAAATTCAAAAAATTTACTGGTGGATAGCATCGATGTCCTTCGATTTGATTTGTATGCGTGCCATGCTGATTATTTCCTGAGGAACTTACGTGTGGAACAGACATTAAAAGAGAACAGAATATGAAGCAATGTTTGAAAATCGATAATTTCAAATTGATCAAATAATCAAGGCATCTTAAAAAGATTTGAAATAATCTAAACTGTATCCTTTAATGAAGTAATGAATTAAAAAAATATCGAATTTTTATATTTGATTTAAAAAAATTCCACTAATAACAAAAGGGCAATTTGAAAAATAATAGAAAAAAATGATCGAAAAAATAATCTGTGAACAAATAAAAGAAGCAAAAATTTCATTAAATTTTCAATTCTACTACAGTTAAATGATTAAATGAAAAAAATTGTATTAATCTTATGGTCAATGATTCCGATTGAAAAAATTGAAAGATTTTATAAAACAAAACAATTTTATAATTCAATGAAATTATTTCAGAATAAAAATAAAAATATTCTACCAGTATTCTCAATATTCTTATTAAAAATAAATTGAAAAATCGAAAAAAATAAAAATTCAACTAACGTAAGAAGTCATAAATGCTTTAACTGCTTTTGATTCAAAGGAAATAAATCTACAAAGAAGAAATAAAATAAAAAAAGAAAAAAAGAATAAAGAATAAAAAGAATCTACTAAAACCTCAGAAAAATTTGTAATTTCATAAAGACCAATGATAAAATAAATTCACAAATTTATAATACTCTTTACGAACTTAACGAATGAATTGTTTTGTCAAAATTACGCAATAACAAATTTATAAAAGAAAATAAATAATAAAATTTTACTTAAAACTTACAAAGAAAAAAACCTGGGGAAAACTCGTATGAAAAAAAAAAAAATTTGACTTCCGCTCGAAATTTTAATCAATGTAAAAATAGAATACCGGATAAAGTTCAGTTCAGTTTTCAGTTCAGAGTCAGTTGTATGAAAGCTGAAAAAAGCTTTTTTTAAGGAAATTTGAGTGTAAAAGATAAATCGCAAAATACTTTTTGTCCTAATAACCCATTTAAAAGGCAAATCAATGTTCTTTTTCTGCAAGAAGATTCATTAAAGAATGTGGCGATCTTCTTTTTAACACGATTCTTGCTAAACTCAAAAGAGTTTAAAATGACTGATTCCTTTAAAAGTCTCGTGAAGCCAATTCTGATACCTTTGGCGATATGGTGAGAGGTGCATATACTTCATTAAAAACATAATATAAAAGATTATAGCGGCGAACTGCTAAACTCTCACAGAGCCACATATATTAATTAAGATCACCACATGTTCGATCAATGTTTTTGAAGAAGAATAAAGCAAAAAATGAAATGCGGTACTGTTCATGACACATTAGCTTTGACTGAGGGGTCCCAACTTTCTAACTAGTGGAACCATCCAAACCAGAAATGTTAGAATAAAAAAAGAGTCAAAAATATCCGCAAATTTTTTTCCGATTATTTAGGTTCCAATCAGTCAATCAGTCAAAATTAAAGAGCTACGATATTTAAGAACTCTGCTACTGCGGCCAACGTCAAATAAGAAAGAGTCGACTTTCATCTTAATAACTGTTAATAATTAATCTTAATAATTAACAATTGTGTCACTGAAATTCGAATAACTGGTTAATGAACTAATGAAGGGGTTTCAACGACCAAGTACCACCAGTCATAATGGTACTTCACAACATAGAAAATAAGCTTAAAAGGTGACAGGTGAAAGCCATCCAACTGATATATTTAGGGATTACACATATGATTTTCGAATCCAAAAAAAATTATTTCCAATAGGTCTCAAAAAAATATCCACTAAAACTCGTTCTCGATTATTTAAATAATTACTGAAATTCGTCCAAGCTTTGTGCAATTTTCCATTTATTATGCAATTCCCAAAACGTGCACCATTTTAGCACCACCTCACCTTTGAACCAAAAAATCCATATTCTATACCAAACCCCTTAGATGAAGCAATTGTAATTAAGAATACGAAATGGCGGGAGGGATATTACAACGAAAGATATATATGTTTCCTACAGCACAATATCCACATTGAAAAATATTCATCATAAGGTACTGTAAGGCAATAATTGATAAAATCGTGAACTGGTGGGACTTGGGCTAATAAATGTGAATAGGTCGCATAAGAATGGTTCTTTTGCCAGACCAGTAAGTGCGGATGGGTCGAGTAACAGTGGCTCTTTTGCCATCATTTGCCTTCTTCTAGCTCTCACCATTACTGGTTAGGCTGGCTCCAACGGCTACAAAGGAAAGACGCTTCCAAGTGGCACGGTCTGATGCCATCGTCGGCAGTAATAGAAGCCATTCCTTTTCCATCGTCTAAGTTGCTGGTATATATTGCTGGTCCACCTATACGTTCAAAATCTTTTCTCACCGTATCAATCCAGGTCTTGATTGACTTATATCGCTTTTGGCGCCATCCATCATATGGTCTAGCAAGTAACGAAATATGCGACAAATCTTGTGGTGGACGACGGAGAACGTGCCCTAACGATCGAAGGCGACGTTCTGTGATAATAGCATTATGCAAGTGGTATTTGAACGAGGATGGATGCGATCATGTGATTATCTTATCCGCTCGACGGACCCGTAAAAATGTACCTTAGACAAGAGTGGTCAAAGGTAGATAACTTCTCAATATTTTCCACTGTCATTGGCCATGTCTCAGAACCATATAGCAAGATCGAACGAATCACAGCTATATAGATGCGGACTTTCGTTTTAATGGTAATTTCACGACGTTTTCATAAAGGCTTCGTTAGAAGAACGCATTTCTAGCCGTCGGGCTACAATATTGTCTTTTGCATGGCCCTATCGACATCCAACTCATATAAATAAATGGGTCGTGAACCAATATGTATATTTATAAAATTATATATATATAAAATATTTTTTGTATCATCGTTGGTCTTTTTATGATATTATGATGATAAGATATATAAGTATACTCAGTGCAAAAGCAACAATTTTTAAGTATTTAGGTGTATATTCGTGAATTTTTTTCTTTTTTTGTAAGCAGAATCTAATTCAAAATTTTTGGATTTTTATTAACATTTATTATAAAAATTCTGAGAATAAATTATGGTTATAAGAAAAAGAATTTCTGAGAAGAATTCAGAAATTTTTGGATGGTTTAAGCCATCAAAAGAAAATTATCAAAAAGCATTTTCTGAGTATTTTTTAGTACTTTCAAGATCGTTTCACCATTTGAGCAATTGTAAATGCTTTATAATTGCGTAGGATTTTATAAATTCTCTCCATGAAAATCCTCGTAAGTCATTTATAGCATCGAATTTCTTTGAATAATTTCTAAATTTAATTAAACCTACTTCTCATGGAAAACTGCGTAAAAGTTGATTATCAATATTCGATATCACTTTTAATGATAGATTTACTTCTGTACAGAAGCAAAGATCGAATAGTAAATGGTTATCATCAATCGAAGTAACTGACTGAACCATTAATAGTTTTAAAAGTAACTGACCAAACTATTAATGACTGTTATCAGTAGAAGTAATTGACCGAATTATCAATAGTTATTATCAGTCGAAGTAACTGATCGAACCATTAATGGTTATAATTCAATAATAGCAAAATTGCTCTTAAGGCAATATTTATTCGGTTTCATCAGATATATTTCATCTTCAATATTTCTTCTTCTTTAATGAATTGATTTGCACCGATCGACTTTTTTTTTGGATTTTTTGAAAATTTTTTTAGTACTTTATATTGTTAAGATGAAGAAATAAAGTCAATTTTTTATGCTTGAAACTTTTGACGATCAAACAGTTCGCAATAGTTTCATTACAATTTTATTTCTTTTTATTTCTAATTTGGGTAATTTTTGCTGGCTAATGGAATGAGGATGTTTCTGATTTGGCTGATTTTTGCTGGCCAATGGAATGAGAAATCTTCAGCAGCAAGTTGCATTATTGCTGAAATATAAATGAGTCGAGTAATACCCGAGCAATGCAATTCTTTTATTAGCAATGAATAAATTTTAGAAAAATATTTTGGAAGAATATTCAAATTTCGTTTAAAGGTGCTAAAATATAATAAAATCGTAATTATTTGACAATCTTTTCTTGGCTTTGCTTGCCTTCAATTTTGCATTCCAAAGAAATAGAAGAAAATGCGTCTCCCGAAGGTCCCCAACGAAATTCGAAATACCAATTGAATATTTGAGCCTTTGGGAAATAAACTGAAACAGAAACCAGGCTCATCGCCTGCAAATAGAATTATATTCCAATAGCAAAAATTATCTAAAAAATCAAAAATTTTTGTTTGGTGAGCTGTCGTTTTTTAAGAAATAATTCTCGATTTATTTTGTTATACTTTGGAATTATTTCTGATAACAATTCAGCTAAGTTCTCTTTAATTTTTTTTACTAAACAACGATTAAAATTAAAATAAAATAAGTTAAATCAATAAAATTAAATCAAATCAATTAAATATAATTAAATATAATATATATGTATATATTTCATATATGTACTTATAATCACATAGATATCGGATGGCTGCTGGGGACCCACCTGTAACTCTATCCCAAAGTGATTCTATGGTGAAAGGGTCAGATACATTTGATGCGGCGTCCGCGTCTCTCGACACGCATGATACTTCGAGCCCGGTGGTACATGCGATAAGCTTACAATCCAGGCTTAAAGTGATCCCAAGGATGGTAAATAAAATGTGCTCTCAAGCCAGGATAATTGTTCGAAACCTATCAAGAAGGGGAACAGCCCTGTTCACGAGCGGCGAGGTATTAGCCGTATCAGCATGGAACGTTAGAACGCTTATGGACCTTGCAGGCCAAGCAATCACAATCAATATTGAGAAGCTATCTACCTTTGACCACTCTTGTCTAAGGTACATTTTTACGGGTCCGTCGAGCGGATAAGATAATCACATGATCGCATCCATCCTCGTTCAAATACAGGTAAGTCAATCAAGACCTGGATTGATACGGTGAGAAAAGATTTTGAACGTATAGGTGGACCAGCAATATATACCAGCAACTTAGACGATGGAAAAAGGAATGGCTTCTATTACTGTCGACCATGGCATCAGACCGCGCCGCTTGGAAGCGTCTTACCCTTGTAGCCGTTGGAGCTAGCCTAACCAGTAATAGTGAGAGCTGTTAGAAGAAGAAGAAGAAGCAAAAATTATCTAATTATCTAATTCTTAAATTTACAAGTTGAATTTCTTATTATAAAACTTATGGGACAGGTGAGAGATGAAAATAATTTATAAAATATATAAATCCATGCAAAAAGGTACAAAGAATAGCTCAATGGGCTGTTGCTCAGTTCGAAGTGCCACTGCTGAGATTTTTCTATTCTCTGCGGGAGTAAACCTATTCAAAAATCCATGTGGTACTGGCGAGTCACTCGTAGTTCTATCGCCATTGGACTTCCTGGCATATTTGACTAGTTCGATAACTCAGCGAAACGAATCTAACCAGTAATGGCGAGAATTTTTAAAAAAATTCATGCGAAAGAGATTCAAGAGATATACAATCAACCCGCCAGAGTATAATGTTAATGTTGCTATCTTTTTCGCTAACAGTTATTATAATTGTTAGAAGGAGTAAAGAAGTAGAAAATTGCTCTTCACACCAATTTCTTCTTCTAATAGCTCTCTCCATTATTGCCTAGGCTTGCTAAGCTGGCTGCAAGGATAAGTCATTTTCAAGCTATTAGATCCGACGCCATCGTCTACAATAATAGAAGCCATTTCTTTTTCCATCTTCCAAATCCATACATCGCTGGTCTGATAATATATTCAGAATCTTTCCTGTCTGTATCAGTCCAGGTCTTGGTGGTTGGTTGGTCCACCTCGTTTTTGACACCATTCATCGCAGAGCTTGACAAAGAACGAAATATGTGCCAATTCTTGTAGTGGATGATGAAAAACCCGCGAAGTCGTCGCTCTGTTATGGTACTATCAATGCAAATGGTATTTGAGCGAAGGAGCGAAGGTTAAGGTTATGCGATCATGTAAGATACCTATTTAAGCACCTATTTAAATATGAGGAACTTTTATTCATCTTTATGTGAATTTTTCATTAGTTCAAGAAATGTCAGATGAAATCCTTTCTTATATTCACTAATCAGACGGATAGAATTCCTAAAATCAGCTAGAAATATTTTCTTCTTCACTGCTGCAAAATATGGCCAGTGAGAGCGAAGGATATGAGGAAGCTTTCTATTTTTGACCATTTCTGCCTTGGGTATTAGTTGCATTGATAAGATCTCTTATGATAACATACATTTTCATCTAAATGCCATCTGTACAAGTGCTGAAAGTCGCTCTACATTGCTCATCATAGGAATTCTCACATATCTCTCTAAATGTAAAGAGTGGCGTCAAAAAAAGGCTCAATTAAAACCCGGATAGATATGATCAACAGGCATTTCGAACGGATAGGCCGGTCAGCGATATGAATTTTAACGATGAAAAAAGGACTGACTTCAATTAATTGCATGCATGTGCCAGATTGAAAGGTCTTAGTATTAGAAAAGTTACCAGCTCATCCAGTCAAATCACTAGCGGGTGTTAGAAGAAGTTTCCATTTCAAGAATATTAACTATTAAATGAATTTTAACTATTAAATAAATATTAACTATTAAATATTAACTATTAAATGAATTTTTATCCTTATCAGAACTTTCAAATCAATAGTTTTTTATGAATACTTGCCATACTCGATTAATTATCAATTATCAATCCTCTAAATGAACAATTATCAATCACAACAAATTAAAATCTAATTTTTTTTGTATTTGCATTAATCGAAACATTATTTGCTTTGTTTAAAGAAATTTATACAAAATCATGTGGAAAGTTTTATTCAAAGATATTAAAAGTAGGAAAAATTGAAATTGATGAAACGAATAACTGGTTTTTTCATGATAAAAATGCCTATGGCTAAAATGCATCTGAATCATTCCCATATTTTTATGCCATTTTTGTTTTTGCTAATCTTATTGAAAATATTCTTTCGAGTTTTTCCAAAATTTTCTTTTTTTTTTCTGATGGAATGCATTTGTTGTATCATCTGCACCATGGTTTGGTTGTCACCAGCGGTTGCTATTTCTCGCCTACTTTCTTTCTTATATCTCATTTTTTTAATTAAATGCTGCAATCTATTAATGGCCATAAACCAATCATTCTATAATTTTTTATTCACTGGATAAATTTTATGAAATCCTGAAATCGGTCATATTTGTGAATTCTCATCATTGTTGTAAATTATTCGAAATTCTTTAAATATTACAGAAAAAATTTCCATTTCATATCATTTATCATTTATCAATTGCAATAATTTCATATCATTATCATTATCAAACTATAGATTTGTGCGTGAAATTTAACAGTCTACAGTAAGCCATTTGAGCTGTTTATTGAGCTGTAAATTCACATCCCTTAGTAAAAAGAAATTACGTGGTGTCCTAGTGGCCAAGAGATTTTTACTTTAACACAGATATTACTTTCATTTGAAGTTAAAAAGCCTATCAATCTAGAAATAACTCGAATAACTCGAGTTGGCGATTCATCTTCTCAAGTAATTCATGAAAAATTTTCTAATGAAAAATCGAGTCGATCGAATAAAACCAAAAATGGGGCTATTAAAAAGAAAGTTCTAAAATGTTCTAAAAAGTTAATTTCTTAGTTTCTTTTTTTTCCTAAATTTATTGCTCATTGATGCGTTTTTTAGCTTTTATATTCAATGACCTTCGAGGAAAAATCTCTCTCAAAATTTCACTGAATAGGAAGAAATTTACCGTAAAATTTATTCAATAATTTTGTTCAGTTCAATTTTATTATCGATAAATTTAATTTAATTTAAAGAATTAAAAGCGCTCAATAAAATTAAATAAATTTCTAAACCAGTAATAAAGATTTATAAACGAACGAGTTTGTTTGCATAGAAATTAAACGATTATTTGAACGAACAAATTCGTCGTCTCATTTCTGCAGTAATTTATTTGCAATTTTGAATTGAAAGAATTTTTTTCTCTTTTTTTATGCTAATTTATAGTTTATTTAATAAAAAATTTTTATTAATTTTTTATTCGAAAATTTTTTATTGAATTCAAAATGATCCTTTTGAAATTTTTCTGCTTTAAGCTTTTTTTGATAGAAATATAGAAATTAACCTTTCTTTTCTCTTAGAAAAAAAAGTAACAAAGTTTTTTATGGTACCATTGTTGGTATTTTGACAATTTTTTTTGGCATTTGGTGACATTTTCGACACAGAAATGTCGATGTTTCTGGTTGTTTGGCAAAATATTAGCAATGAAAAGCTCAAATTCGTTTTTTTTATCACTTATTATTTCATTTAGTAATAATAATAATAATAATAATAATGTTATAATAATAATATTAAAAAAATAATGAAAAATAATAATGTCACCTAATAATAATAATAAAAGATGTTAATAAGAAAATAATAACAGCGTTAATATCAGTAAAAGTAATAATAATAATAATTGTTAAAAAAATGATGATAAAAATGATAAAATTTGCATTATTAGGTATTTATTCGAATAGTATTTTGCTTATATTTTCCTAAGATTCAATACAATTTTTTTTATCGGAAAATTTTTAGCTTTAGATTTTGCAAAATCGCCGCAATCCAACATGATTATCTTTCTGATTGTTTTTTCAACACAAGGAAATTTAGCATTTGATTCAATAAACAATCAAACAATTTTTGATTGCAATAGAGTACCAATATCATTTTGCTGTACAACGCGAATGCAGCACGAATGTACATCGAAATGCGCCTTTATAGAATGCACGCCAGATTTTTATAAACGAAGTACGAAGAATGTTTAAAAATTTTTATAATAAAAATTGCGAGAATTTAGCCAACCATTGCCAAAAAAAGAAACGAGAAAATTTGCTACTTCGACTAAGGCCAAGGCCATCATATGTACGATTTTGGCAACAATGTAAACTTGGCAATGGCTGAAAATGAAAAGTAAAAGTGGTGCTTGAAATCACCTCCTCCTACACTTTTTTTAAGTGGTACTATAACGAATGGCCTCATTTTAACCAATGTCAATGTATTAATATGGTGAATGGTTAGAGGAAAAAGAAATTTTAATCGAATGAACCAAGAAATAGAAATGCTTTCAGGATTCAGAAATTCTTTCTATATATGATTATATAATCTGAATTTCCGATATCTCATAACAACCAGAAATATGGGAAATATTTCTGAATACTCAATACAAGACTAGCATGATTCTTGAAAATTTCAGTTGTTAATGCAGAAGGAACGTCGCATATGAACAACAGAAACACGAATGATCAACTAAAGAATACAGGTTTTATTTCGTTTTTCCGAAATTTAGGAGAATTTTTTTTTGGTGCGTAAAATTCAATGTTCCATGCCTTATAAGCATGAAATTAGCAGAATGAAACAAGGAAATTTTCATTATTTTGGATATTTCTTTTGAATTTATTCGCTATATTTCATCCATAACGTAAAATAAATTTATTAAATTACACATTAATAGGACCTACTAAAATATAGAACAGTTAGCATGTACCATTTCTATACCATTTCCACGTAGGATTGCATTACTGGCTCTTTGTATGGTTAGACAATTTTCCCATGAAGTCATTTGAAAGATTAAAATTAGGCCCACAAACACCATTTTTTAATCTCTAGCAAGAGTGTTAGCCAAAGGATGACAGTTTTTAAGGTCAATCTTCTTAAAGTACCGATAATAAGGACAATAATGCTTAAGAATAATTTTTATATGAAACTCTATTTTTTTTAGTATAAAAATTTTATTATTTTAGTAATTTATTTTTATCATAGGAACTGATATGATCGAAAATAGAAAAGATAGCGAAGAAGTGGATTTTAATCTGGAGAATGAAAAATCTGAATACATTGATGAAAGCGCTGAAAGAGAATTTGATAAATCCATAAGTAATAAACGTGATGGGGACACATTTAAACCAAAATTATCATTTATCACTACAGAAACTGAAGATTCTATCAATTTCAATCAGAAACCATTTCCAACTCTTATATCATTATCATATAATCAATTCATAACGACGAAGAGTCAACGAAGTACGCAAAACTCAAAAGATTTACTGGTAAGATTTAGAAAAAATAAGTGCACAAATGAGGAATTCAACATTGGCTTCAGGCTACTATTCAATTTCCAAAGGTTTCATTTGCAATAAAGAAATAATTTTTAAAATTTAAAAAGAATTTAAAATCGGCTATTAAACATAGCAAAGATTTTTTTTAGGAAAAATATACAAGAGCACCAACGATGAATCGAAAAATTAGGAATAAATTTTTTCTACCACCACCACCATCTACTGACACGGAGGCTTTGGTCGATATTGAATCAAAAGACTATGATTTGGAGTCAATCACCTCTTCGTTACCTCCATTCACTGTCAATCATCAACGTATATCAAGTAAAATATTTTTAATATGAACCTTGGCCTCAAGATTCTTCTTTTTACAATTTCTGGCTTGGTTTATACCTCTGCGATAAAGCCAAGGAATCATTTGGAGCTGTGGATGGTTTACATTAATATTCCTTAGTATTTCACTTTCAATCACTGGGGTTTACTATTTCACAGGAATAAAATCTATAATGATTTGATTTGACCTTAGTTAAAGCACTCAGTGATCCTCTACCCATGCATAATCCATAAAGCTAGCTTAAAGTCTCTTTTGAAATAACCTGAAAACTTTCGTTATGCCAATATATTATAATACAACTGACTTTATATTAAATATGAAATTTTTCATAATTTTTCTAAATTTCAATATAAATTTTATTTTCAAAATGAAAATTTTTAATATATCGCTTCTAAATTGCTTGAATATTTTTTTATTTTTTTTATTTTTATTTACATTTTTATATGAAAATTATGAACATTTTTAAAATTATGAAAATTTTCCACACTTTTATTTCATTCAGCTATGTACTAAATATTTATTTGATTCATTTTATGAGATTTTGTTTGAATATTAAATATTATTGTATTTAAATATCATTTAAATATTATTTAAATTTGCCAAATATTACGATATTTCTTTAATACTGCCAGAAATTATTGAAACGTATTTTGCAGGACCAATGTATAAAAAGCAGATTTACAAATAGAACAAATTAGATTTTTAAAAAATATATGAGAAATTCCAGAGGAACCAGTAATGGTGCAAGAACGACCGCATATTTTATGGATAAAACTCATATCAAATCGAACATCGGATAACTTGGAAGCAATTAAACCAATGCTTCTTAATATAAATAAAATAAACAATGAAAATTCATTTAATGGAAAATACGCAATAATAAATGAAGAATCTCTTTCAAGTAATCGTTCTTCTTTTTAAGTATTGTAGTATTGTATAAGTATTGTATTACTTACACCATTGTTAGTTTGGTTCGATCTATTGGTGACTATGGTAAAAAACTTCCAAGCCTCGTGATCCAGTGCCATTCCTAAAACCATTTTTTTCATCCCTATGCCCGAATATAGCCGAGTCACATTACCTTCAAAATCTTTCCTCTATCCAAGTATCTTGATTAGTCCTCCTCATTTTTGGCATCCATAGTTTTATTCCAGCTCGATCATATGAAACTCTGAGGCGTGACGAGTAGGAATGTAACTTTGGCAAAATCAGTCAAGAGCAAAAGCCTTACTGACGCCTTTTACTTTTAAATTTACAGCCAAATAATAGCCGTGTAGTAAGTCAGAAAGATGGGAGCCGTTTTCGTAACGATTTCAGAGATTTCAGAGAGGTTTCGCCAGATTAAAGAAAACTGCACCTTAGGCTGTAGTTATCCGAGCTGGAATTCCATCATTCGCCGAGCCATTCAATATGAGAATAGATGCGGACCTGAGATATTCAAACCTGATGTTTCTTAGAAGAATTTATATAAACTGCGATCTTATTAGCGTCTGGTATATATGAGACGAAAAAAGCCTTATTGACTCGAAAATAAATTTTCGCTAATACTTTTGATTTAATGCCTTTCCCCATAACTGTCTGTCAGTGAAAAGAGCAATATTATCGGTGTATCGTGGTCTGTGATGTTATTTTCTGGATTAATCTACCCATTTCTTGAGAGAGCGATGTTTATAACCTAATTTGTTTCATAGAAATTATACGAGAGAGGACGGAACATGAATGTATATGTATACTTGGTGCACATTTCAAAAAGTTGTGCCAATTCTCACACATATGCACTTGCCTGAATATACCGGTAAAATGTTTTATAAGTTTCGTCATCATCCCTGAAATACCACGATACACCGTTTTGCATAACTTCCAAATCACTAATTTTAGCAAGTATGAAGGCGCATTTGTAAAGTTCCAGCATTGGTTATATACTAACACTACAAAACTCTTTAAATAATCATTAAAATCACCATAGTCATTAAATCATTGAAAACGATTCTTTCGTGAATCAAAACCTATTTGTCTGCATGAAGGATGATAGATTTTCATTCTTTGATAGTTCATTAAAAAAAAGAATTTATTCATTTATCTTTTATCACTGATCAAAAATATTAATCTATACATATATGGAATATCAAAAATCCAAGAAATATATTTAGGTGCCAAAAAAAATGCCCCTGTTGGAATTATATCGTTCAAAGTAATACCACATCTATCAGAAGTAAAAGATAAAATGAATTCGAATTCTGAGGGTCAAACATTGGCTGTAAACCAGTTTCCAATTAATAGCGGTTTGTTATACTAAATGATTATCAATATTTGCGAAAAAAATTTTAAAAGAAATCAAATAGGAGAATACCAACATTGCGTATCACTTTTCACCTTTTTGAAGAGTATTTAATATTTCTGGTTTGGCTGATTTCACCGATTTGTTATTAAAGTCGTCTAGTTAGAGAGATATTTAAGAAAAGAAATAGTTCCCATTCGGATTTTGGAAAAATAATTGAGGAAATTTACTGGTTAATAAAATTTCTTTTGTTAGAGCTAAAAAGATAATTTTGAATTAAATTACTTTTCAGGATTAAATTTGGTCATTGAAGAAGCCCTCAAATCCTTTAAAATAAATAGGAGAATAAACGAAATCAATGAATCTGGAAATAATGGTAAATATTATAATTTCTTTATTTGTTTCTTTCTTTCCTTATCAACAATCTTTCTTATCAATAATTTAAGTACAAAATACATTAATGAGAAAAGATGGTTTTTTCTTCAGCTCCAACGAATTCACAGTTTGTAAATTTGAGCTTAGTTGACTATAAAATTTGAAGGCTCCATAATCTGATATATCCTAATTTTTTTCTAAAAAGCCGTCACTATCATTGACAAGACTCGCTATGTTAGCTTATCGCATTAGCCAAATATATCAGGGAATCCCTTGGCGGTAGAAAGCGGTAGATAAGAGGTTAGCATTACTCGGATTTTTGTTCAGGCTCACTCTTGTAAGAATGAAAACCTCAGAGAATTCGGAACTTAGGAGAATTGAACAAGAACGCACTGAGCCATTCTTTACACCACATATTAATTTTTTTCTTAATTTTCTAATTTACGCAACCATTATGGAATAACCGTGGAAAAAAAGAGCCTATGGATTTTCGGTAATTACTCCAACTATATTTCAAGTACGAATTATGTGATCAGATTTTTAGCTTCTTCAGTTAATCTCAGAATTCAGACGACTCAATCCCCATCAATACTGCCAAATTTCATGGCCAATAGCAATCCAGCAATACAAAGCAAAGTTGACCCTACTTCTGAAAGTTGATTTTATTCAAATTTTATCAATTTACATGATTATTCTAAATTTCTCAAATCGTTAGTGCGTAATCAGCCTGTATATTTGAAATATTTGTTCTAACGTTGTCTAATTGGAATTTAATAGTGATAGTGATTACAGATGTGATAATTTTAATTCAGCAAAATGTGGAACTGCTCCATATTTTACGCCTTGCGTTCCATCATTCATAGCTGATAATCGAATGAGAGATTGTTGCCGGCAAAAGAATCTTCCTTTAGGCTGCCAAAATCTTTGTCGTTATTCGGTTACTGTGCCAGAAGTAATAATTTTCAAAAATACACTTCATAATTCTTGTAATAAAACTATAATTTAATTAATTATAATTTATTAAAAATATATAACTTTTTTCAAATCATATTGCCTTACGTATTTTCTAAAAATAATTATTTTGAAAACACTAAAATCGATAAGAAATCGCTCTGATAGCTTTTAAAAACTATGAAAATTTTTTTCTGTAGTTTAAATTACTATTTCTGAAAATATTAGACTAATTTGCATGTAATTTTTTAATTTTGCTTATAAATTCATGAATATTTCTATCGAATGCTTCGAATAATTATTTAGATCAAATTAGCAATGGATAAAGCACTTTGTGGAATTTTGCATGTTGCACCCATTATTGAATGTGCTTCAGCAGGTCACGATAACACACAGTGTTGTCGATATAAAGGCATTGCTCAGAAGAGGTAATTAAAGTCGACAAATTATTAAATTTTCTTCTCAACAGCTGAATCCCATTAACGATAAGAATGAGATTTAGTTAACGAGTTAGTTTGGAGTGGAGAAAAATTATGTCGTTCCATGGTAGCACTTAAAACAATTGGCAAATCTTAATTTTAGCCTGAATTTTATTTTTAACTGATTGTCTTTTACAAATGATAGCGAAGACAGGAAAATTTGTTATCAGATAGAAATTAATTATTGATGTTTACAATTTAGCAATGCAATACTTTAATAAGTGTTGCAAAAGTGTTACGCCTAATTTATCAATTATTTTTAATTAACTTAGGACGAGTATATAGATCGGCTATTTTAAATGATCGCTTATGTTTTCAGTGGTCCTCAATGTGAAGTATTTTGTCGTTCTGGGAATGGACTCTATGCACTCGGCATACAACATCTCGTTTGCAATAAAGTTATGGGAGAGCTGATTTCATGTCATCATGCTGGCTTGATTGTATAATTTTGGACTATAACAATTAGTCTCACTAGCCATCGATTCAGATAGCATGAAAAAGCAAATTCTATACTTTCTTCATAAAAATTTTAGAAATACTGGCACATTTATTTCCGTTAGAAATATAGGAATCGAAGCCATAGTGCTAGTCGAAGAAAACATTCAATCCTTGTTTTGCATTGCATAATAATTCCTCTTTAAAGAGAATAATAATAATATTAATAATAATGATAGTAATAATAATAATAACAATAATAATAATGATAAATGCACGATTCATTAAGCTCGAATATTTAATGTTCGTAAGTTTCATATCGCTTCGATGGGTCGAATTAATTGATCTCACTTGCTCATTTTAATTTTATATTTTATTTCTAATTTTTAACAATTTTTTATTTATTCAATTTGTTATAAGTGATTCTTAAAAAATCTCAAAACTTCTCATATTATCAATGCTTCATTAAAATTTCATTTGCATTCAAAATATTTATTATAAAGGAGTGTTTTTTTCATCATTAAGAAAGATCTTTTGAGAAAAAATTAAATAATTCAATGATTTAGTGAAAAATTTTTTTTAGCATTTAAAATTTATATGAAAAATTTATTTCAATTTATTTATTTATATTTTAAAAAATCAACAAAAAATCATTAATATTCAATATGAATAAGAATTTGTAAATTTTTATTTTTATTGAAATTTTTATTTTTATTTTTAAAATATAAATAAATAAATTTTTCATATAAATTTTAAATGCTAAAAAAAATTTTTATTTTATTTTATTATTTTTATTTTATTTTTATTTATTTTATTTTTATTCAATTTTTTTAAAAATATTTTTTCCTAATAAATATTCTCGATCTTAATTATTTGATATTTATTAGAATTTTGAATTATTTAAATGATTTTTAATTTATAAGCAGACTAATAAAAAAATCTCGTGAAATAATGAAAATATAAAAAAAAAGAGATTAGATGGTTAATTTATTTGCGGAAAACAATTGAAAAACCAATAAAACTTTATTGATTAAATCAAATATAATTGAATATTTATATTAATATTAATATAAATAATTATTTACGATTATTTATATCAATATAAATATTAATATAAATAATTGTGAATAAAAAAGATAAGGTGATTTGCTTCTGCTGAGATGGAATATCATTTCCCCCACTCCTACCCTATCCCCAACCCTCTTTCCTCCATCTTTTTTCAACAATAAATAGTAAATGATGGTAAAGAATATATATATGCATATAGAAATTCAAAAAGTCCTATTGTTTCTACTATTTATTACTATTATTATTACTACTATTTGGTATAAATAATATAGGCAAAAATTTTGATGGAAGAAGAAAATTATTTCTCTCAATTATTGAATTGTGTATTTTGTCCTTTCGAACGAAGCTTTCCTATATAATAAATCGTTTATTTATTCGCTATTATTATTCTCTTAAAATATCACAAATCGAGTGAATTCATTGAAGGATTATAGGAAAAAATTTTTTTAATATCGGCTTAACTCTAATTTAATCACTAACTACAACGCAAAACTGCGTAAGTTATTATAAAAAAAAAGATAAGAAAATTTTATAAGGAAATTGAATTTTTTTAAGCAATTTAAGCAATTTTAGCTTTAATAATTTGGATTATCCAACGGGATTGTTGAAGAAACAATTTTATACGAGATATAAGTAAATAGTTACCGTTCACTATTCCAAACTAGGCTGTCTCCAAGCAGTTCGCTATCCACTGGTACCATAGGAAGTTTTTTTCGAAGTGCCACTGGCAAATAGAATTGGATATGCGATTGGCCGCATCTACAATTTTTTAATCGGACTCGTGCAGCAAATAAACAAGAAAAAATTATAAAATAAAACTTATAATTTATAATTATAAAATTATAAAATTATAAAAAAAATATTTTTATCATTTCTCTGATTTTGCTTTATTTGTGATAACAGCTATCTTTACTGTTTGAGATGAGTGATAAACAGTAAAATTCATTAAATCTAAACAAATTATCCATGGGTAATACCAAAGAGAAATGTTTATTAATTTCGTTACTTCGTTGTTGTAGTTAATTAATGATTTAATTGATTAATGATTTAATCAGTTAATAATTTAATTAGATAAAATGCATTTTCAATTATTAAATTAGATAATTTATTAACTGAAAATATATTTTAACGATCAGTTATAACGCGTTTTTCGAAAATAGTAGTAGCAAAAAATTTTTTTTCAAAATCTAAATTTCAATTCAATTAATTCAATTAATATTAGTGATTGAGTGTGATAAAACAATTTTCAAGCAAAGCAATATTCGTTTGATACGAATGCAAAAAAAAAAAAATTAACTAAAGTTTTAATTCATATAGAAAGAGAGAATCTAAATTATTAAAATTCATTTAGCGATTTCATTTTAAAAGATTAAATGAATTAAAGGGATTGCATTAAAATTTATTTGTGAGGCTTATCTCACCTAGGAAATAATTCTTATGCATAAAAATACTGTTTTGAGAGGAAATGAACCTTAACAATTTAAATCTTAAAGAATTAAAAGATTTAAAAGGGATTTATCAAAAAGCAAGGAGAAAGTGAAGTTAGAAGTTTGAGCTGATAAAAACAAAGCTTTATCAAGGATAAAAAACAAAGTTAGAGATGATAAGGATATAGTTTTATCAAAGATAAAGCAAAGTTGAAAATGATAAGAATATAGTTTTCTTGTTTATTTACTGAAGGTCAAGTCAAACGAATAGCAATTTGTTTGAATTAAAAACGAAAAAAAAAATTTGTGAATTATTAAGCGCAAAGAACATATAAAGTTATTGAAATAACTTAAACTTCCTTCCTTTTTTCCATAAATTTTCGGTATTAAAATTAAAAATTTTGATTTTATTGTTTTAAATAAATTTCTTATAAGACCATTTAACGACGATTTCATGAGAACAAATTATTTCATTTTAAATAAATAAATAAAAATAAATTCATTAGAAAATTGAAAATTTATCAGCAATAACTATCAATAACTAATCAGCAATCCAGTAAAAATGAAGAAGTGTTAAGTCCTTAACAAAAAAAAAAATTAATAATTTATATTTAATACTTTATTATTTGAAATAAAGTAAAGAGAAATGAAATTTAAGGTAAAATGATTTAAAAAATGAAAAAAATTTTCCATTTAAAAATAAAATAATGTATCTAAAAAAAAAGTAAAGTACAATAAAATAAATTTAAGAAAGTAAAAAGTGAAGTACAATTCTAAGTGCAAAGACCTTATTAAGTAAACTAAGTATTTATAGAAATTTATATAAAATAATAATTTATAAATAAAATAATTATAAAAATAATAATAAATAAATAATAAATAATTAATAAAATAATTTATATTTAATATTTTATTATTTGAAATTTTTATAGCTTCTTAAAAAATTTATTTTTATTTGCCAAGGCGTGGCTTTCGGCAAATCTCGATCACATCGCATTTTTAATTACCTTTTTAATCTGCTAGGTAAGTGGTTGTCAGTTAATATGAACTCATTTTTGATCGCAGGTAAAAATTTTTTCTTATGTTTTTATTTATTACATTATTTATTTTATTTTAATCTAAAATTAGCAAAAATGATATGTTTTTTCACCTTTTTAAATTTTTATTTTAAAATTTCTTCTATTTTTATTGAAATCGTTTAAATTTTTTTTTATTTTAAAAATTCGACTTTTATTTAATTTCGAAAAAATCGAAAATAAACGAATTAAAAATATAAAATCAACAAAAATTCCATTTATTTATCGTTTGTTTTATCATTTAAATATTAAATATTAAATTTATTATTGAAATACTAATTTAAATCTATTCTACCGTAGGCAATTTAATAAATTTCCGAAGGTTTCGCTTAGCTTTTTAGTTCATTTGAAGGATTTTTTTTATTTGCGCGATATTTTCAAACATTTTTCTGCATTTTTAGTGAAATTAGTTATGTAAATAATTCAATAAATAAGTGGTATTCATCCTAATTTATGAACCTACGAAAATGTTGTTTGAGGCAATTTTAAAAGATTTTTATAATTATCATTCTCGAATTTGGAATTTTTTTTGAAAAAATGGTTATCCCGGTTTTCACCATTTTCGATTAAACTTGTTGCATTGGTTATTGGACCAAACAAATTTTGCTAGGAGTCATTCAATGAGGAAGAATCCTATATAGATGTGTCAAGAATCGCTAATTTTTGAAATACAATTTTCATGCGTCCGAAAACAGAACACTAATGTAGAACATTTTAAATTAAGGCAACGACTCATTGAATAATTGGATCTTAAATAGGATTAATAAGTAATTTGAATAAATTTTTTTTAAGGTTTAATTTTTTCATTAAAAACAAATAATTTTTTCAATATTTTAAAGAAATTTTTGGTAAATTTATATTTTCCTTTAATACTCAAATAGGAAATGGGAAAGAATGTAAAGTTTTTTGTATGGGAAATTACGAGGAAATTAAAATTATTAAAATCACTGAAGAATATTTATAAATATAAATAATTAAGCTGTTCTTTTTTATTTTATTTTATATATTTTTTCTTACCATATACCCTATGCAGTCTTAAATTAAATTTCGGGTAGTACTTGATTTAAGCAAAAATATACGATCGGAATATGCGATTGCAAGTGGATCGGCTTTTAAAGAGTACGGTTTTTTTAGATTTCTTAGTCATGTTTCTTCGGCTAAATTCAAGCACCATGGACACGATTCTGATCTCTTGACGATTCCAATATTTAAAAATATTTAAATTTAGAGAATATTTAAATTTTATGAATTCTTCTTTGTATTAAAATAAAATTAAAATAAAATTAGATTTTATTTTCTCAAAATAATTTTTATATTTTCTCATAAATTAATCAATTTTTATTTTCTCAGTAAATTTATTTATTAATAAAAATATTTATTTTCTCAAAAATGCTTTCATTGAGAAATTAATGAAGAATCAATAAAAATTCAAAAATTCAATTCTTTTATTCGTTATTTTTATTTTTCATATTTGAGAAAATTTTATATTTTTATTTTTAAATATAATTCTCATAGTTATAGCATTTCATTTCATTTATTTTATTTTATTCACCTTATTTATTTAATACTAATACTAACGGCGAAATATGGTCGGTGGGAGATTACAGCCTAACTTTTTGATTTGCATATAAGTGTTATAAAAACAAAAATAAAATATAATATAAAATTAATAGAATTATTTAAAGAAATTTATTTTTATTTTCTTAGTAGGTTTATTTATTTATTTATTAATTTAAATATTTATTTTCTCATTGTTTATATTTTTATATTAATATATATTTATATATTTATATGTTTTATTTATTACAATAAATTACTAATATTACAATAAAAAATAGGAAATTATTTTAGTAATAAATAAAAATAAATTACAAATTTAATAAATAAATTTAAATCAAAATAACAATAATAATAAAACAATTGAAAAACGGTTAAAATAGTCAAATTCTTATTAATTGATAATTGACTGATAATTGATTGATAATTCAGTATTGCTCTTCGAAATTATCATATCGATAAATGAAGCTTCGCCAGTGCATGGAATCTGGAAACATATTCTGAATCAAAAAGATTTGGTGAGCATATTATAATAATGAAGTAATTCTTTCGTAAATAAGAAATATTTTTGTAAATGATCCATGATGAAAAAAATATTTGAAACAAGGAGATAGATTGGGTGCCGATGGATTTTTAAAATCAACCGAATCACTAATGTTTTAATCTTTTACTCTTAGTAATAAGTTTTTATTTCCATTAAGGAATATGATAACTCCCTTACATCCAAGAAATTATTAGTTCTTATCATAATTATCAACTACAACTACGGATTTTAGGAGAAGAAATCAATCTATGGTCTCTACAAGAATTTGCCAGGTTTTCGCGAAAATGAATTATACGAAAATCCACTCTATTATACACCTTTAAATGAATAATTTCGATGATAAAAAATTTCCAATTTTTTTAATAATTCATTTAATAATTTTTAATTCATCATTCTTTTCCTCTCAAATATTTCATTTTATTGTTAGCAAATTTTCCAAATTTTTTGAAAAAAAAAACAATTCAATTCGTTTTTATTATATTTATTATTATTACTATAAGAAATAATAATAAAGGAATTATTCTGTTATAGCAATAATAAATTTGAGATTTTAATTACAATTAATGATAAAGTAAGATGAATGAAATTGTGATAAAATTGATAAACTAAGAAGATGGGAAAAAGAAAAGGGAAACAATCTACGCTTCATCATTTATTACTTTGAAATATATTCGCCATATATTTCTAGATTTTCGCATAAATAATAATTGATAGCAACTGATAGCAAAAAAATATTTATCGGTTGATATATTCAACTAATGATTAAAAGCTAAATTAAATAACAGCAAACCGCTTAATCACATAAGAAATTATTCAAAACCAATGAACCATACTATTTTAATAAGTTGATTATATCTTATTTGCTTAATTATACTGACGTTGAATAATTTATTACTGAAATAGAATAAACCAGTGAGTGACTGCCATGGGGGAATATCGCCTCGAGCGCCAACGTTCCGACTCTATCCTTAACACGATTAAGCCTATCATTTCGAATGGTACTAAATATATCTTTGTTGCAAATCACTGGGCAATCATCTTAGCAACAAATTTAGCCAGAAATGATAACCGCTAACCAATTCACTATTAAATATTATAATCATATAATATATCAAATATTAAAAACCATTAAACTCCCTCAAATTTTGCAAAAAAAAAAATTTCTTAGAAACTACTCATAAATAATAATTTAATAAATATATCTATAATTGTTGGTTCTTAAAGATTAAAAATATTAAATATTAAAAATAAAACTAATAAAACTATGTAAAACTAAAAAATAAAATCAATAAAAATTGAGAAATAATCGACGAATTTAAATAAAATCATTTTAAAAAATAAATCCAAATGAAAAACGCGTTAAAATATTAAATAAAAAATAAAATTTAATGAAAAATGTATTTATCCAAATTAATTTTCGTTCGTTCACAAAACTACATATTTTAATATATAATTTTCAATAATAGGACTTAATTATTTAAAACGGAAAAAAAAACATAAAAAAATTCATTAAAATTCGAATAATTATATATTTCATGAATGGAAAAATAGAAGAATAAATTAAGGAAGCTAAAATTATTAAATAATTTATTTATAATATATAGAATGTTTTATTGGAAAAAAATTTTTATCTATAACATTCGCTAAATTTACGATTTTTTTCAACTATTATTTTTATTATTTAATATTTTTTGCTAAAATTTTTACGAATAGAAAAGAATAGCTGAGTGGTTAACGTGACAAAAGACAATTATTCTAATGCTCTATTTTTTTTTCTTTTTTTTATTTATATAATTCTTTCTTCCTTTTTTAATTTTGAAAAATAATCGACGAATTTAAACAATATCATTTTGAAAAACAAATCCACACGAAAAACGCTTCAAAATATTAGAGGTATTTTCTTATATAATTAAAATATTATTAAATATTATTTAAATTAATTGCAATTGGAAAGCGTAAATTTCTAGCAAAACTTCTATAATACAAATAAAATCCAAAATGTTTAAACCATTAATCTTTCTTGATTTTCTGCATAAAGAGAAGATCTATGAAATATTTTTACTGTTCGATATTAAAAGTGAAAATAACTTTTCGTGAATTTCAATAAAATTTAGAGATAATAAATAAAATTGAAGAGAAAAAAATGAAGAAAAAAAAAATCAAAAAATTAATACAATTAAAATGAATGAAGCTATATGCATAAATTATGCAAGAATCCTCATAGAAAAATATGATTGAAAGCTTCTAAATTAAATTCAGCAAATTTTGAATTTAGCAAATTTTTCTTCCGATAAATTTACGAGTCTTCTTCATTAAATAAATTATTTAAAGATTTAAAACAAAAAATATAACACAAAAATACATATAAATTTAAATAGAAAAATAGAATGGAAATCATTCCCCAAGAAAATATTGGCGATAAAATTTGCTTCATTTATGTGCACATTTTTGTTGAAGAAACAAATGCATATCTAGAATAGATTCGAGAGCATCAACGGTATTTGGATGATTTTCACCAAAGGCGATTTTCAACATTCCCACTGCCTGCAATACGATATGATCATATATTTCAATTTTTCAGAGAGAAAATTAGTTCGAATAAGTTCGAATTTGAATGCTAAGAAAGCCGATCAGGAATTATATCCTTACCATCATTATCATTTACTTTCATGAAATTATTTCTTCGAAAAAATTGAAAATTACGAAGGAATACATATAACATTAACATTATGTATATAAAAGCTAACCTGCTCAAGCTGGATAATTGCTCTATTTATATTACATTCTTTCTGCGCTAATAGTTTGCCCAATTTATAGGACTGAACTGCCAATGAAGGATAACCATATGGACAAAATTTTCTATTGAAAAATAATAATTAAAATATAAAGGAACAAGATAAAAATTATAAAAAATGGAATTAAACAAAATAAAATAGGAAATACTTAGGAGACAAGTTCAAAAACATTTAAATTTAATGTATTTAAAATTCAATAATAAAATGTACTTACTGAAATGCGGGTAAAATTTTCTCAACAAACCCAATAGCACAATCAAAATTTCCAGCAATTATCAACTTTACTGCAATGCTATCAGCTAGACAGCACAACGGTATGTTGAATGACGAAAAGTGCTTCTCAGCTTCATGATAAATTTCAATAGCACTTATCAATTCTCGTTCATCATAATCTTAAAACATTAATTTTAGTTTTGAAGTAAAATCATCAAAAAAAAAAAATTTCTCTCACTTAATAACTCACATTCGTTAAGCTAGAAGTTTGCCCATTAAGTTAGAATTTTAAAGTTAGAAAAAAGCTGGTCTGACTTTAATTCAGTCCTCTGAAGGTTCATGTGAAAAATATATTTATTACAATGAATGCCCAAACCGATGTAAACTTGAAATAAAATAAAAAATAAATTTAAGAAAGTTTAAGAAAAACTGTTTATTGCATGCCAATTCAAATTTGAATTTCAAATACTTTAAATTATTAAAAAGCGCAAACTAGAGCCATCAAGTTGCTTTGCCTTTTTTTTCACCTTATCCATCAATTTTATACCATCAGTCAAAGCCAGCGATAATTTATCAATATTACAAGAAGCACAAGATTCTAACTGAGATGATTTAGGATTGAAACCGATATATCCATCCTTACATCTTGAACATCGGAAGGAATGAGCCAATGCGTCCTAAAATCTCTATTCTAAATACCTATGAAAAATTAGATTGAAATGTGAATTTGTATTAGCCATGAGATAATGATAATAAGCAGCAATTTTTTTTTAAATAGCACTCACCATTATTGGTTACATTCAACTAGCTTGTCGGAGTGGATCAGAAAGTCTCTTAGCCACAGAAGTATGGATGAATCGCCAGCATCACCCTTATTTTTGAGTGGATTTACTCCTGCCAGGAGCAGAATTATAGCAACAGCGCTGCGAACTGAGCAAGAATCCACTGAGCCATTCTTACTTTCTTTTGTTATTCTTAATTAAGCGACAGTGTCGCCCAACGAACACAAGTGGACTCAAATTCAAGTTTCGATTCTCCATGGTCAGTCTTACCACTGAGCCACCAACGCACAAGCAGTAATAAGCATTTTTAATGAAATATCTATTACAAAATATTTAATAGCGCCGGATTTGCGAATATTATGAGAATAAATAAACTTAGCCATTCTACTTTCCTTTGTTGAAAAATGAAGAATGTTGGATTATTTGAAAGATTTTATATCTATACAGAAAATTACAGAAAATAAAACAGAAAATTAAACCATTTGTTGATCGTTACAAACTGAACATCGACATGTGAAAAAATAAATATCTAAAAGTTTCGCTTGACGATCTTCGGTGCAATCGAATAGATCAATATAACTAATTTTTACCTGAAAAAATGATCAAAAAAACTTTAAAAAGCATCAAAATAAACCAATTAAGGCGATAATAAAAATAATTTTAATAAAGTAATACAAAAATAAATGATCAAAACCATAAAAGAAAAAATTAGAATTCAAGAAAAAATAAAGCCGAGAAAATTAATAAAGTTGAAACGGTTTGCGAGCTTCGAATTTATATAATTCTAAATGATCTGAATGACTTAAAATATATTTAAAAAATTACCCTATCACTTAATGTATCAATATCAGGACTTAACGATCGTAAGATCGCTTTTTTTCCATCAAAAATAACAAACGCGTTTGGCTGACAACTATGATCAAGAACAGATAATCTGAAATAAAGTGAAATAAAGAAATTATATCTTTGATTTATCTAAAAAATAAAAATTCAATATTTTTAAACTTCCTTGGCCAATATCAAATAAATTACGCGAAATTTTATCGAACAAAGCTTCAAAATCATCTTTCATTTTGCCTATGATTTTTTCTTTTATTTTATCAATTTATTTAACAAAAAATTGATCCACAAAAATTATATTCAATCTTCAAACAATTATATTCATAAATAATTAAAGATATACCCCAAATAAAGTCCTATCCCGTATGGCGATAATTCACTGTTGAATAAGGAAAAAACATTTATTAGAATCTAAATCGAAAAATATCCACAAAAAAAAGAATTGGCAAAATTGCAGCAAAATATCGACATATATCAATCATAATGAAATGAATTAAAAAAAAAGGAAAATAGAAACGAATATTGCGATAATACGATTTTATAGCTGTTATTGCGGATAAGAAAAATTTTTCTTAAAATAATAGTATTAAAAAAAAGAAATAAGAATTTTAAGAAGAATTTTGTAGACAAAAAAAATGTAACCTTGCCAAAATTTTCCAATGAAATCAGTTCAGTTGTTAAATTTTTGGGTCCAATATGCTCAGATAGAATATTTTGAAATGAAATAAATACCTTCAATTTTTCAGCATCTCGTTCAATATCTGAGACATCTAAAAATTTACACCATTTAATATTAATATATTAAATAAATAAGATTTAGATTTCTATCTTTCCATAATATATAAGATGAGATTGTAAAAATCGTATTCGATTCCCCAGATCATCCATCACATTCATATTTCCACCTGTTAACACGATTTGACATCACTATATCCTGATTTTTCTCACACTATTATTGTTAATTTTAAACCGGTTTATTTTTATGGAAAATAAAATTTATTAAATTTATTTTTTATTTTTTAATATTTTTCAATCTTTTCATTAATTCCATTATAACCGTTATGTTAGCAATCCTTCTTCTTCTAACAGCTCTCAACATTACTAGTTGGGCTAGTTCCGCTGGCTACAAGGGTAAAACGCTCCGTCGCCATCGCTAGTATTAATAGAAGCCATTCCTTTTTCTATAGTCAAAAACCATATATCGCTAACCATATATACGTTCAAAATCTTTCCTCTCCGTCAGTCCAGGCTCTGACTTGTCCTCCTCACTTTTGACCAACCATCACAGGGTTCAGCAAGTATGTGAAATATGCGTCAACTCCTATGGTGGACGAAGAACCAGAAAGCAATGCTTTATGATAATATTATTAATACAAATGATATTTGAGCGAAGATGGAAAAATCATGTGTAATTCATTCATCGGCAAAATGTATCTTGGACATGAGTGGTCGAAGACTGATAACTTCTTTATTTTCTACTCTCATATTTTGCAGCATATAGCAAAATCGAGCGAACTGAAGCTATATGGACGCGGATTTCTGTTTTTTTGGTGATTTCGCTACGGTTCCATAAAGATTTCATAAACGGCAAAAGACATTTCTAGCTATCCCGGTTACAATTTCATCTTCTGCCTGGCCATTTCGGATTAGAGTGGTTCCAAGATATTTAAAATCGCGCAATGGATTGATAAAAATAGGTACTTTATCAGCATCTTGTATATAAAACGAAAATATTTTCGTTTTATTTCTATTGGCTTTGAGTACAATTCTAGCTACAACTGTTGACACATTTTAATTATTTGCATTTTTATTTTTTAGCTTTATTTTTCCATTATTATAATTGTCAGAGAAAAGAACTACATCAACAGCGTATTTAAGATCTATGATGCTATGCTCTGGACTGATTTGCACACCTCTTGAGTACAGACAAGTGATGCACATTATCCAGTCTATCGCATAATTCAATATTGCTGGGGAAAGGACACATCCTTGACGGACACCAGCTTTTATTTCGAAAGGATTAGTCAATTCCGCATATAAACCTGTGCCAAGATATGCTGATAAAAAACCTTTACAAGTTGAATGATTTTCTCTGGCACCGTAGGCACATTCCACAATTTTCCAAAGCCTTGCTCTATCAATCGAAGACAAAGCAAAAGTGATAAAACAAATGACGGTGGCTTGCTGGTATTTGGGGCGATATTCCAGCATCCTTGCCTTCTTAGTGTAAATATCTGGTCAGCACAACCGATCCTAACCTGAGTCCAGCTAGGACGCATTCTGCTATCTCGTTGCTATTATATTAAATTAGATTTTGGCTGAAGAAAATAATATTGTGTAAAATAAAGCTTACGTGACATAAGAGATGCAAACTGTCGACCATTAAATGCTTTCCTTTCGCCCTCCTTCTGAAGAATTAAAAGAGTACGCAAAAACATTCGACATAATGCAGTAGGAAAACGAGGAGAAACTTTAAAAAAAAATTCACATTCAATCTGAAATATTTTGTTCATTTTCATTGAATTTCATCTTTAAAATATATTGAAATTTAGAAAAAATTTTAAATTTTAAATTTTGGCCAGTAATAGTTCAAACTTCAATAAGTCATACTGATAAAATTCGAAAAAATTCAAACAAACTTAATGGTCAAAGTAACGGGCTAACTTTGTGGTACTTCCAGTCCTCTCTTTGACAGTTCACATTACAATAATATAAAAAATAACATTTGCTACATCGGAATAATCGAGCTTTAGTTCTGAAAAAATAATAAATTATTCATGATGAATTAATATTAACTATTAATAATAATAATCCACAAAAAAATAATTTACCATTTAACAATAATATTTTACTTTATTTATAAGGTGACTTATAAGGTGACTGTAAGGTGACTGTGACTTTAGGAAATCCAATTAAACGAAACATTATTCAAACATGTTTCTTGGAGAATATTGAGTACATTACTAAGCCACGTGCATCGGTGGCTCAATGGCAAGATAATTGTCGAGAATCGAATCCTGGTTTCGAATCCGCCGATTCCTCATTCTTTTCTGTCGCCTAGCGAAGAAAAACAATGGAGAACAGAATGGCTCAAGTCCAATAAAAGATTTTTTCCTTGAAAATTTGCTAAACTTTTGATTATTCCTTTAAATTCCTTAATCCTTTGATTAAATTTTTAGGTGATAAGATAAGAAGATAAAATCTCCATAACTCTACTCATGTAAATTTAGAAACGATAAATCCAAAAGGAGATGGAACGAAAAATTTTTCCCATTTCACTATAGAAAAATTGGATTACCAAAAGGAAGGAAAGGATTTAAAAAGTAAAGAAAATTCCTAAAGAACAGCGATCGATGCCGAAAAAATGCAGTTGCAAACCAATCTGATCTGAATGATATATTTTTTTTTATCCCATGATTTTATTAAGATTTCTTAATCTTCTTACTTATTATTAGTGGTTGTTCATTAAATGCATAATAATAAAATGTGTTGTGTACGTCGTGAAATTTAATTTAATATTAATTATTAATTAGTTAAGATCTTTGGTACCAGTTGATATATATTCATGTCTACCCTTTTAATTTTTATCGTTATTCATGAAATGAAATGAATTTCTGAAAAACTATTGCTTTTATACCAATAATACCAATGCCAATACCAATCACTCAATCTCTAATTTTTTTACCACAAAAATTGAAAAAATTTGCCACAATGCCATAAACCGAAATCAAATGTGAAATAAACTTGCGTTAATTTTCATTATATCTATAATTCTATTTTTATTTTTTTATTTCTTTTTTTCCTACTCGTAAAATTTATATAATAAATGATAATAAAATCGGTTTTAAAATGGATTAACGAAAAATTAAATTGAAAAATTTTAAATATAAAAAAATGAAAAATAAAATATTATGGAGAAATGCTAACTAGTGAAAAATATAAATTATTGATAATTATAGTAAAAATATAATATAAAAATAATAAAAATGAAAATAATAAAAATATATACAATAAAAAAAACGAAGAAAAAACGAAAAAAAACTTGAAACAAAATGAGCAAACATTCGACAGATAATTATTGTAAACAACACAAGCGAACGGCATTTCTTCAACCAAGATTTTACCAGCCATTTTTTAAATTTCTGCAAATTAATTTATAGAAAAATTTAATTTAAAATTTTTTTAAAAATTCATAAAGTTACAATTGTTTAAAAAAAATATCACTGAAGCAAATCAGTAATTAATATTAATATTAATAGTAATTAATATTGATTAATTATTATTAATTAATACAAATTAGTAATTAATATTTTATAATTAAAAAAATAGAAAACATCTCTTTCCTTTTGAACTTTAACATTGATAACACTGATAAATAACGATAGATAATCAAACAAGTTGCATTTAAGGTCAAAGGTCACGGATATGTTAATTTTAAAACGTATTTATGAATTATTAATTTATATAAGACTTTGAAAACTATTAAACAAGTAGTTAAACTAAAAATTCGAGGATTTCGAAATTTTTTCCAGAAATTTTCATTAAAAAATATAGAGAATTCACAAGAGAGATTACTCTCTTTCAAGAATCACAAGCAATTCATATGAACTCGGTGACTGCCATGATTGTAGTTAATAAAATATGCGATATCTCGTACTCTTACGAGTTAGCCTTGCTCCGTTACTTATACTACTGAGGAATTTTTAAGGCCTCTCAATACGATACCATATTTGAAAATAACAAATCGCTCATGTTTTAGGGCCCATATATCGCCTATGCACAAAAATGTCCCCTCTAATTATATCGGTCAAGATTTTAATCCACAGTAAAATCTCCTCTGACCATAGCAGTCCAGGTTTTAATTGACTCTCATTCGCTTTTAAAGCCATTCATCGTCAAGCTTAGGGAATTAATTTTTGCGGTGCGCTGTGAAAGAACATGGCCTATCAGCGCTAACGACACTATTGCTGATGGTACTTGGACGAAACTGGAACCAATAATATGAGAAATAATTAAAGATATTAAGGAAATAGACCTATCTACTATAAAAGAAAAGCGTCGCCTAGTTTCACCGCATTTCAACGAATTAACTGAAATGGAAAAACTTATACTGACTCTTAGAACGATTGTAAAATTACTGTAATTTCCGAAATTTGCATTTCTGTGTCCTTTTTTTGTTTTCTTTATCTAATTGGGTTAATTTTGAAGGGGGGGAGTGGTGAGGGGGTTCGGTGGTTTTTTACGTTAGCTTTCCCACTATTCCAGGCGTACATTGAAATTCGTTGGCATTCAACGTTAGTTCATTATCGTTTATTGCTACCTTAACTGAAATATTATTTATCTGAAGCTCAATACTTTTCTTGTGTTGACCTTTGACATTTTCATCGTTGCTTATTTTGCTTAAAATTTTATAAATTAGCTGATTTAGTGAATTTCGCAATCATTCGTTTTAGCATTCATCTTTTATTTATTAAATATTGCTTGTTAAGAGAGATATATATTTGTAATATTTGGCATATAAGGCAGTTTTAATAATATTTGTTTTCTTTTATGTATCATTTTTTTATCGGCGATAAATGGTTCTTAGGCAAAGTAATTTTAATATTTGACGGCTTTATAAAGGGCTATGGGGATATATTTTAAAAAAATGCTTCCCAGGAAGATTAAAAGATATTATAGTTGTGTAAGAAATTTAAAGAAATCTCGAGAACAATTAACGGCGATATGGTCGAGTGTTATGTACCTCTTCAAAAAAGGTTAAATTTTCATAGGTTCCATTTCCTTGTTTTTAAGGTATCTTTCATGAAAACTGCATGCATGATAAGTGAAGAATGAAATCCACTGCTGGCAATTTATCTGAATGGCAGCTCTCCCATTTTTATTGCTTTTCTGTCGTTGTAAAGTTCTTTTTAAATGCCTTTTTTTTATTTAGAATCTCGTCAATTTCGTTAAATTCGTGTAAAATAAAATTCGATTGAATTGAAATTTTTAAATTTCTCGAGTTGGAGTCGATCTTCTTCATATTTAATCGATTTTTAAGATTCTTAGTTTTCTGCGATTTTTTTTTATAAATATAAATTTTTCATCATGCAAAATTTTTAATTATTTTTTTATTGTTTTGCTTATGAAGTTTTTAATGAGAAAAAAATATTTCCTAATTAAATTATTTTTGCAGTTAAAAAAAATTATTAAAATTGCAATTTACGTTATTGTTGAATTATGGCAACTGATAATACTGAAGAGCAGCAATTAATCGCTAATTTTAAGGTTAATTTTTATTTCATTCGTTTTTTTTCTCAAAAGAATAAAATAAATAATATTGGATTCCACTGAATTTTTATGAATAATTTATTCAGTTTTTGAAATGATTCATAAATTGGAAAATATTTTATAAAAAACTTGAAAATTTGATGTAATTCATATAACAGTTTGCAATTAGTACATTAGTACATTAGTACATTTGTATATTTGTTTCGGGCGAAAAACCCATCTATTTCCTTCAAATTTTGCCCTAACCAGCTAATATTGCCATGGAGTATCATTTTAGTACCTTGATTAGCAAATCCCTTAGGACATGATTCTTTGCATCCCTCTTCCATTTCATTTTTCCTCTTCCATTTTTCCTCACTTTTCTTCCACTTTTCTTATACTTTCATATCGCACTGTGTTCTTTTTTAAATTTTAGTTAAATTTATTAATTTTAATTAATTTTAAATTTTAATTTTTAAAAAAAGCGATACAAGATTTCCTTAAGCTCATTCGTTATATGTGGACGTTATAATGTGTTGAATGTTCCAAAATCCCGCTCTATTAATAAATATCTTAGGAATTTTCCTTTGCTCATTATGCCTGCTGAAATGCTTCAATTTCTCCTAAAATCTGTCGTGAAAATTTTTCCCAATTTCCTTAATATCCTCAAATCCCCTTTGTTTTGTCTTGCTGTAATTTATTAGAGATCATTTTAAACCTCATTTTAACTCTGATCTTTAATACCTTCACCTCACATTATCCTTGTCTCCCACTTTCTTTGTTAATCCCTGTTAAATATCGGAAACCCTTTAGACTTTTTGCTGTAACCGCAGGAATAGCAATTTTAAAATTTTGAAGAAATATTAGGGCAGTATGACCAGTTTTGAACAAGTTTCGAGAAATATGGCTAAAAGTATGGTTTGCTATGTTTGTTTGAATTTGGAAAAAAAATCTGTTTGCTGCGAAATCTGCCCAGTTTTATTTTTCTATACCGTAAATCTAATCTATGCTCTTTAAATCCATTTATTTCCCTTTAAAATCCTTTGAAATTTATTTTATTCTAAGCAATAAATAATAGCAAACTTATAACTGAATTATCTCCTAAATATTTTTTTCGATATATGTTATGTTCTTCTAACATTTCCATGCCTTCATACCATTATTTATATGATGTTTATACTCTCTTTTGCTAAAACCCAACACACTCATTAAATCCGTTATTACGTTATTCCTCGCTATAGAAAAATACCTCATTGTGACTCATCGTTAGAACACACTATTCTATAAAGCTGATCTCATGTGCGCGAAAACCCGCAGTATTATTACTTAATATATCCTAACTTCGATATTAATGATATCATCCTCAATTTAAGCAATCAAATAAACGAATCGTAAAAGTTGGAATTTTATTTTATTTATTATACATTTGATATATTGTAAACTTTTAGGAAATATGTTTTGTTGACGATGATACAGCCACGAATTTCCTTCTTCATAACGACTGGAATTTAGAGTCTGCTGTACAGCATTTCTTTCATGTAATCTTTTGCATTTCAGTTTTGAAAAATTGAAAGAAAAAGTGAGAGAAGTAATTTTTATTTATCGTTGATTTTTTTTATTCAGAGGGTAGAGTGGCTTAGTGAGTTGATACTTAGTGAGTCAATCGTAAATAATGAATTTATTCACATTTTAAGGGTGAAGGAAATTTGGATTCCGAGGAAAACCAAAATATAACAAATAATGATCAGGAACTTCGAAGGCGAGTTTTCTCATCGAATGGACCAACAGTTTCCAGGTTTCTTTCGAAAGATTTTCCTTTTTTTATATGAAATAAAATATTCGCAGCTTGGAGAAATTTGGTTCTTTATTTTCATGATTATTTTCCGATTTTTTGGATTTTTCATTTGAAGCTCATCATCACAAAGCGATTTTTCTACGACTTCTGTGCGTCTACCTCTTCGAAAAATATCGCCACGTCCTTTGTCTTGGTTCGAATGGGTAGCAAAATTTATCTCATTGCCGCTAACTTTTGCCTATCACACTTTATTCGATATTATAATGTTTGTTTGTAAGTTTTTTTTGCATAATTTTTAAAAAATTGCATTATTTTTTTTTAAATTTACTTTTAAAATACTTTTTGGTGTATACTACTTATTTTTCTTCTGGCAACCCGCCAAATGCTTATTTAAATAACTTCAAGATAGAGCCATTTTTAAATCTCTCGATATCTAAAAATGATGGAAAACATATCCTCTTGTATCTTCTGAACTTTAAGCTTATGCATTGCTGGGTCATTTTTGTCTAAATCGCTCTTTAGTTCTGGTTTTGATTATTTCTTTGCTTTTGACATCATCTATCATAGGACTTAGCAAGCCGCAAATTATATATCATTTTCTGCAAGGGGCAATGAAAAATGTGGCTGATCAGGATAGATATTTAAGTGAAAGTGGATGTAAGTGGAAGTGGATTTTATATGAGATTTTATCTACTGAGCATGAAATATGTTAAAATGGTGAAAGGTGAAAGATTTTCGGCTCCTATTGTCCATTTTTTGTATTTTTGCAAAATGCAATTCAACCAGATATATTTTTTTAAAGAGTCCTCACTATTACTGGTTAAACTCGCTCCACTGGCTTGTCGCATTGGGCAGTATGCCAGGGAGTCCCTTGTCGATAGAAATACAAGTGAGTCGCCAGCATCACTCGGATTTTTGTACAGGTTTAATCCTGCGGAATCAAAAACCTCAGCACGAACTGACAAACAACCCCAGATATATGTGAACTATTTTGATGTTGATTTCGCTTCAATATCATAGAGATTTTTTTTTTCAGATTCATTATTTCGAGCACGGCCACTTGCTGTGGCTGATCCTCGTGGGGATGTGTTTAAATTCATTAGCGATTTTAAAGAATGTTACGGAGAAGCAGCTACAGCTATCAACTTTCATGCATCATCATATAATGAGGTATATATATCTGCACAAAGCGTTTCATTTTTTATTTCTCAATTATTTTTTCTTCTTTATTCATTTAAAAAATTCTTTTAGCCAAATTTCGCATTTTTTCTCAAAGAGGAATTTATTATTCATTTTTTTTTGGATTTGGCTTTTCATTTTAGTAAAACTGGAGAAGGCATTTGATTTTTTTATTTTTAGGCCTTGGCAGAATGTAAAAAAAGCTTAAGATTTATGCTGGTATATCTTCATAACGCATCACATCAGTCGTCCGAACGGTTTGTGCGTGAGATTTTACTCAATGACCGCATGAATCATTTTATTCAGAGAAATCAGATTCTCTTGTGGGGTGCATCAGTGCAGAGTCAGGAAGGATATAAAGGTGCATAATGCAAATATTTTTGTAGAATATTTCGAAATGATACAAATAAAAGTCTAAAGAAAGAATTACTGGTTTTAAATGAACCTGATATAAATTTTAAAAAAAAGTCTAATCTTGATAAAACATATATACCTTTATATATATGCCTTTCAAAATAAAAATTTTAGTGTCCATGGCTCTTCGCGAGAATACCTATCCTTTTCTTGGCTTGCTTTGTATGCGTGATAATCGTATGGTCATAGTTCGTTTTTATTTTTTTTTTGTTTTTTAATGAAGAAAAAATTTTGCAAAATTTTATATAAATTTGAAATGGAAATTCCTTTCTATTATTACCCACATTTAAATAGTAGTTTTAGGTTCTAAGACTGGAAGGAGACTATGAATTGGAACCTATGCTTTATGTTCTTCAGCTTGCTATTGATGAGAATCGTGTTTATCTGGAAGCAATACGAAACGAACGGTAATTATTTTTTTCTTAAGAAACAGTGGTAATCTGAGTTATTGGTAAGATCTAATGAATTTATTCGTTTTAGGTCTAATATTGAGCGATAGGGTTCTTGTTAAAAATTAAAAATAAGGCAAATTTTCATTAAGCAATCAAAGGGAAGCTGATATGCGTATTAGACGAGAACAAGAAATGGACTATGAACGTTGTTTAGCTGAAGATCGCGCTAAGTTGAATGAAAAACGTCGTGTAGAAAACGAGAAGCTATTAGCAGAAAAACTGGAAGCTGAGCAGAAATTACTTGAAGAACGTAAAAAACAGGTAATTTTTTTTTTTTTGATTAACGCTTTATGGCGCAAAATGAAACCATTCAGAGGTTGGTATTAGTTGGAACGAATTTTTTTTGAGGCTGTTCATTATTATAAATTCACTCTGCTGGCTCATCGCATTGGACTATGCCAGAGAGTCTTTTGGTGATAGGAATATAGGTGAGTCGCCAGCATCACCCGGTTCTTTGGATGCTCCGAATTGAGCAGCAACCCACTAAGCCTAAATCTATCCTTCTAGTTGGAAGGAATAATATATTATTTTGTTTTAATTTTTCTAATGATTAGAAAAGCGCGATTTATTTTCATAAAAAATCAAAATATTATATGACGATTTATCGAAAATTTTTTAGCAATTTGAATCGAAAAGAGCGGAAATAATCAGAAATTTGCCACAACAACCGGAAAATTCAGGCAGTATTCGTGTCAGTGTTCGTTTTCCTTGCGGGGATCGTTTTGAACGAAAATTTAATTTGGATGATAGCATTGAAGTACATTTTTTTTTTTTGCATTTGGGAATTTAAATGAGATGGCAGAATATCCTCAAAATATTTTAATTTTCATTGCTTTTCAACTTTAATATTTCTATTCATTCATTCTTTTTTTGAAGACATGAAGGAAGATTGATTGGTGCGATAAGCTAAAATTGTATGTTTTAGAATCTTAAAATTTGTTAATTTATAAATTTTTTTAAACTTCGTATGTAATTTTATAGTTGTTGTTTAATGCGACTCTTGCGCACGAAAAGTGCCCATCAAATTTTTCTCTTTTATCAAGTTATCCACGTCGTCAGTTGAATTGTGCACCAGAATGGTATCGAGAATATGGTACTGTTCACGATCCTTCAAATATTCCCACATTTCGTGAATGTGGATTTGATACATCTATAATGGTTCTTGTGCAGAATAACGATGCTTAACATTCTTTCTCGTTTTTAATCATATAATTGTGCCCTGTGGTTCTTGCTGGCCTCAAGTTCCTTAGTTTGATAGGTCATTTAACATCATTGAACATATGAAGTTCTATTGAAACTTTCAACTTTCACTTAAAATATTTCATATTCCCTATGAATATTATTGCATATTGTTTTATTGATATTTTAGTCATTTTTTTAAAAAATTGTTTTGGATTTACAGGCTATTTGCGGATGATTTGATTTTGGATTTATTATTTCTTAGATTATCGCTTAATTGCTCTATATGAATCAGCTATTCGCTGAAGAGCGCGCTAAACCTATATTTCTCGGTTTTTTTTTTCATTATTCAAGGCTTTTACTGGCAAGAGATTTGGGCAGAAACATATTTTGTTTTTTTTTTCTTTTTTTAGAACGATCTTAAAGGAAATTTTTTGCTTTATAGTCCTTTGGAACTAAGTATTCTGAAAGTTCTGTGGTTCGACTGATTTTTTTTCATTGGATATGATTTATTGGTTGTAAATAGTGAATTGTTTCGGCAAATTTCTAGATGAATTCGTTGATAAAATTATTTGTGTTGTTATTTCTTATCAGTTTGATTTGAGCTTTCATTATTTCAAATATATTTTTTGAAACTTTTGTTTTTACACTTCATATTAGTCATTCTGATTCATCATTTTTTTCTTGTTAAATATGCATATCGGATTGAGTTAAAATGTTCTGTATAAAGTTCTTATATTTAATTTATAGAGAATATATTTAATTTATATCTAAAAATAATAAGGCTTATTTCTGATTTAAATGAGTATACATAGTTGAACTTTTCATCAGGTCACTTGAGAATATAAGAATATATATATATATATATATATATATATATAGGGAGTTTTGCAGCCCAAATTAACCCATTTACTCAGATTTACCCAAATTTTAATTTCATTGACAAATTTGTTTCTGATAAAAGGCAAAAAATATACTCAGCAACTATGCTATTGTTGCACATTGTTAAATTACGTCTAAAAAAATTAAAGAATAGATCATTTTGCGAGTTAAAAAAAGCTTTGATAAATTTAGAGAATTTAGTAAAAATAGAAAAAAATGATGCAAATGATGCAAATCCCAGATGATTTAATTGCTTTTGAGTTATTCTGTTATTAAATTTGTCATCGCTGGTCCCACACTTAAACACCGCAGAAATACTCTTTTTTAATATATATTGCATTCATTAAATACGTCGGTTTTTTTGGACATAAAACCGAAAAAGTATGTAATAAATATATAACTTTCGAGTGGACAGCCGTTTTTGCGGATGAGTTGCATAAGAATTTCACAAATTTACTGGCTTTTATTTCATTAAAAAATATTAATTTTTATGCAGAAAGAATATAAAAAAACTCGATGCAACTAATACCCGTTAAAATTTTTTAACAAATAATCCAATAATCGATGGAACTTCAAAATAGATTCACTGGAATCACGTCGGATATAAGTTCTTTGGTTAAAGCATGTGGGCCAATCTTCGCTACGTCGTCTTTGTATTTCTTAAAAACACTATTTAATGTCCATGAAATACTCAGAAGATAACCATATCTGGCTGATCCTTGTCGTACATCCCTGCAAAACCAATAAGCAGTTGGTACCATTCCTATTTTATATTTTCTGAAATCATCGTCATTGTCATTTTAAAAAAAAAATGTCGATCTATGGCAGCCATTCTCATTTCTCCTTGAAAAAAAAAACAATTAAAATGATAGCCTAGGATAGCCGAGTGTATAACGGCTTAAATTATCTTCTAAAAAAGAAAGTTTTCTTTTTTTTTTTTTGAAAAAATTGGTAATAAAAAAAAATGAAAGTAGAGATTTAAGAGGAAATTTTAATAATTTTAATAAAATACATTTTCATGGTGATATAATCAAATAATGAATTCAGTAATTGCTGGCGGCACTCATTCATTTCAATATAATATTTCTTCAATGGCTCGAAACATTCTAAATTTTTGATTATTAAATGATAAGTAAATGCGATGAGGGTAGAATGGCTCAGTGGGTTGTTGCTGAATTGCGATGGCCAATGCTGAGCTTCGGTTCCCCGCAGGAATAAACCTGTACAAAAATCCGGATGCTAGGGATTCGCTCGTATTTTTATCGCACAAGAACTCTCTGGCATATTGCTCAATTGCGACAAGCCAGTGGAGCCAGTTTAATCAGTAATGGTGAGGACTCTTTAAAAAAAAAATAGATGACTGTACTCGTTATTAGTTATCGGTTTATCTTCTTATTAATATTCACCTGCTTGTAGAAAGAAAATCGCTTTAAGTAGAACGAATTCCGTTTTATCAATTTGTACACGTTTTAGGCTTTCAATAACGCTGTATGTATAATCACCAGAAAATTCACTCCTAAAAATTAGTCTCAAAAATTTTATAAATTATATAATAAATAATTAAATTATATTAAATTTATATATATAAATTATGTAAATTATACAATTTATATATATAAATTATATAAAATATATATAAATTTAAAAATATATATAAATTATGCTAAAATTTTATAAATAATTCAAATATCTTTATTAGATTATTTTGGAAATTTAAAGAATTTTATTAGTAATTTTAATTAATATTTTAATCAAAAACAAACTTTGATTTTTTTTCGATAGCAATTGACTTATAAACCATTTTTTTTGCATAAATATTATATGAAATATCGAAAAAAACAATGATAAATATTATACTTCGTAAAAGATAGAGCTGCAAAAAAAAAAATTTATAATAGTCTAAAATTTTGTTAAGTAAATTTTTATGCAGCGATAACTCCGATAGGAATAAACTTGTTAATAAAAAAAATGCGATTGGTGCTAAGCATGTTCTTATTTCATGCAAACCAAATGACTGTTTGGCTTTCTCATTAGATCGCAAGTGATAACAATAATCCACCTTTCCTTTTCTTAACAAGTTTTTTGATGCATGATCCATCCACCACTTTTATGAAGTCGTGATGCATGACTTATCTCTCTTAACAAGTTTTGATATCTGATCTGATCTACCGTTATTTTAAAATCACCTTAGCTTTAAGATTCATCCACTTGAATACTTCAAAAGTTTTCGCATATTCGATTACAAGTGCCACATGTTGATTTATCTCTCGTCCTACTGAAATATCGTTATTTTCATCCGCCTTCTAAAAATTTCCAAAATTTAATTTATTCTAATAATGCGAAAAAAGCGAAATTTAAAAATGCGATTTCTTTAATTACTGATTTAAGAATTACTTTCGTTGATTAGCTGTTAAAATCGTCGTCTTATCACAAAAATTTACTAGGAATATTTTAAATACTTTAAAAAGTACTTTAAATACTTTAAATATACAATTTTTAAAAAAACTTAATTTATAATATATTTTTTTATTTTTATTTTATATATTTCTATAATATATTTTGAATACTTTAATACTTTTTATTTAGAATAATAAATAAATATACATATATATAGTTATATATCGAACTTGGAAAAAATTGGCTCAAACGGCTTAATATAGTAAGTAAAAAAAAAAAAAAATTAGGCTTCCTCCATTAGTTATTAGTTGTTTTAGATTTCAGATTTTATTAGGGATAGGTGAATGGATAAAATATACAACAGCACTTCGTATTTTAATTGAAACTTCATTCTTATCTTATCTTTAAAATAGGATCTGAATTTCGGTGCTTGGAAATGATAAGCTGAGCATTAACCATTCCTGCTTCATCTTCTAGAATAAATCGTTGAATTTTGTTGATTCGAATTTAAATTCAAAAATTTAGATGAAATAAAAACTATACATGTAGATTGAGTTTTCGATCAAATATCGACGGTTTCGTTAAAAGTTCAAGCAAAGAATCGCGAAATTCATAATTCGAAGCGATAAATTCATCTATTTTATTTTGTAGCGAAATAAATTGTGTTATTTTCTAAATTTTTTATTCTTATTAAATTTTATTTTTTAAGATATAATTTTTTTTATTTTTTAAAATTGATAATTTCAGAGTATTTTGCTATAGTTTTTTTTTTCATTGCTTATCTAAATAAGTAATAATTTATTTTCTACCTTTTTCGATTCTTCGGATAATTCTCGTTTTCCAAAATCAAATCGCTGTAACGATGAAATATTTTCCACTGCTTCGCTAAAATTATTTAACAATAACAAAGTGATTATCATTTTTCTCGGCTTGATCCACTAATTGTTTAAGATGGGATTGTTATGAATTTCATTTAATGGCATATTTCTGCTTTTTCAGTACGATTATTAAACCACCAAGCGCCTATTTTGCAACAAATTATTGATGAATATTTATCATTTTATTTAGTAAATCCTTTTTATCACCGTCGAGAAACCCATATTATTAGAGTCGCGAAATGCGATCTTTCTATTATTTTAAATTTATTATTTCAAAGTAGTGAATTGACCCGCCGATGAAGCCTTTTATTTATTCATTAATTCCTTATCTTCACATATGTCAATAAAGAACAGAGCTCAATTTATAAGTATATAAAGGATATCCTTTTCAAGAAAACTATTCCTTTGGTGCCATCGAGGTGCCCGAGCGGTTGAGTCACAATATTTCAATTATTCTGCACTTTCTTATTTTCTCCTTATATTTATTTTCTTAATCGTTATTTGTATTTATATTTAATCATTTATTTAGTGTTTGCCTGGATATAAATTGTGCGAATATTTTTCGTACTATATATTAATTGGCTTAATATTTTTATCAATTCATGCGGTTCCACTTCTAATATAATTAACGCGTGGCACGCAAGCATCCCACTGCTTCCAATCAATGAATTTATTATATATTTTTTACAACTTTGCTCCAAACACTTCAATTGTCTCGCCATAAAGCGCATTCGATTCTTCCTATTGCTTACTAAGTTGACCCTGCAGTTGAAACAGTTCAGGTGGTGAAGTTCATTTGTACTTTTCTCGTCTCATGAAATTCACTCAATTTATTAGTCAGTAGACGCGACTAGAAATAGTTACGTTACAAAGAAGATTTACCGCATATTATAAGGCGACAGTGACGAGCATGGAATTTGTGGTAGATCAAGCAAAGCAGATACTGTATAACCACGTTTTGACGTATCAAGATCCAGTGCATTTTCACCATTCGATTTCACCATAAAATCACTATTTTCCAAAGTATTAAATCTTAATTGGCATGAGCCAGGGGGATAATCACCTGAAGCAATATCGGATGTATCTTCTGTTTTTGGAGACGCTAAACGACTAGTTCGATTGCATTGTACTGCTGAAACCAACTTTTTTCGAATAATTCTTTTTTGATTCAACTTTGAATAAGGAAAACTGAGATAATATAAATATACATTAAAGAAATTTAATAAAGCAGAAATTCTTTCAAAAAGCTAGCAAAGACGAATATATTCGATGATCAAATTGCATCCTTATGGATGGCATCGAATCGAATGATAATCGAAGAGCATGGAGATATTTCATTTTTATAGACCGTGAAATCAGTCTAAATCGCAAAAGCGCTTATTAGGAGGCGATAAACTGCTTGATGGGATGAGGTCGTTCAATATTTTTAATGGGGCGATTCTAATTTTCCAGAAAAAACTGTAGAAAAAAATGAAGGAATGAAAGAAGCACTTAAAAATGAATTATTTGCATACCGTTCGGATTCATTCCAACAGCAACACATTTTGCAAATCGACATGCACGACATGCACATCGCATATCTGAAAAAAAATCACTTCATTTCACTTAATTTCCTCCGCAACCACTCCACCATTTCCTGTTTGGCTAATTTTCCTACTTATTAGAAAGGTAAATCTCCTCACGAGAAAATTTGTTTTAACTGATTTACTTAATACGCACAAATTTTTTTTTTAAGGGTTCTCAGCTATTACTGGTTAGACTCGCTCTGCTGGCTTATTGCATTAGATAAATATGCCAGGCAGTACCTTGGCAATAGAAATGTGAGTTGTCAGCATCATCCGGATTTTTGGACAGGTTTATTCCTACGGGGAGTGGAATTTCATCATCGGCGCTCCGATATTGAGCAACAACCCATAGAGCTATTCTATTTGCCAAGAATATCATTATCGATGATTAAAGAAATAAATTTATTTTTAATTTCATAATTTATTATTTATTATTTAATTTATTATTTAGTCGTATAATTTATTATTTAAAATTTAAAATATTTTTAGAAATATTTTTTACCTTTGTTAAAAATACATTTTCCATTCTTAAGGCATTTATAAGTTCGTTTATCAATTAAAGTTCGACGAAAAAATGTTTTACTAAAAAATTAAAAATTAAATTAAAATTAGATTAAAAAATTAAAATAAACAATTATTAAACTTAGCTGAATGAAGAAGGAACACAAAAAAATCTGTTTATTTAAAGAATCTGGAAATTTTTTTTATCAAAAATATTTTCATTTTCCCATATTTTTCCGAAATCCGAAAATCCAAAACATTAACGAATTCAATTTTTTGCGTTTCTATGGAAATTAATTTTTACTAATTTTCATTTTACAAATATTTTGTTTTATATATAAATTTTTGCCAAATTATAAAAAAGATTTATATTTAGCATGCGAAATAAATGGACGACGATTTACAGCAAATATTAAGCCTCTACATGTGCACCATAAAAGCCTTTTCTTTATGTGTTTGAAATAGAAATATTAAAACGAAGAGAGTTTTTGGAGATTTTTTAAAGATTTTTTCTAGAGGACTCTTTTTTTCGAGTAAATTTTTTGAGCGACAATAGAGAAAAATATAAATAAAATAAAAATAGCGAACAATGAAATAAATTCTAAAATATTAATCCTAAAAATTATACCATCCATTACAACTGGAAACCTCATAGTGAAAACCGGTAGATTGGTCACCGCAAACCGCACAAGATTCAGAAAATTTTAACGACGATGAGTCTAAAATGAGAAATTAGAAATTAGTTAGAATCTTTTGTACAAAAAAAAAAATTTACAATAATAGTTATTTATAATAATTAGTTCAGTTATTCTTAAAACTTTTTACTTTAAAAATTTCATAAATTAATAAAGATGATTTTCAAGAATTTTTATTATTTTATTATTATTATTTATTATCATTATTCTATTATTATTTTTATTATTATTATTTTATTATTTTATTATTTTTTATTATTATTATTTTCTAGATTATTCATTTAAATTATAGCTATTGAGATAATTACCGTATTAAATATAAAAAAAAATAAAAAATCTTCAAGAATATTTCTTGAATTATTTAAGATTTTCTCTTTTCAGATAGGATCATAGTTTCACGTCAAGTTTAAGGAGATTTTTGTTTGAAAAAAAGTGAAAAAACACGCATTGGCTTTTAGCCTCGAAGGATTTTCAGGCTAAGCTTCAAGATACCTTAATGTTCAATATGTGCATCATTCATATGTTTCTTTTTTAGATTAAAAAAAATATATAAAATTTAATGGAAACAATTTTTTGACCAAGACACAACTTTGAAGTTCCTCATGCCTAAACGTATGTTACGAGGGCATATTTTCTCATTTTTGAGTTCCACATTGTCCCTGTTCCCTCTAAATTAGCGGAATTCTGTCGCAAGGATAGAATTCTCAAGTTGCGTTCTTGCCGAAAAGGCAAATTTATTGATTTAATAGCAATGGATAAAGCCATTGAATACAATATGCTTTAATTTTAAAAAATAATAAAAATAAAGCAGAACAAATAAAAAAAATAATTAAAATAATATTAAATATGAAGGATGAATTAATGTAAAATTATTATTGATCATCATTGTTAAATTATTGATGAAAAGATTTGTAGATATCGTAAATAAGTTTTCTTTCTTTATTCTGATAATTTAACTGATATTACGAAAAATTTATTAATTTAAAAAATAAGTGGTGCTGCGAATGAAAGAAATTTTACAAATGCACATTTAATCAGCTAATCATAATGAAAATTTAAATGAAAACTACATACCAATTTAATTAGCCTAAAAATTATTTTTTAAAATTCATAACTATCCAAAAATTTAAATTTATAAATTATAAATTTATAAATTTAAATTTAATTTAAAAAGGTTTCTTCTTGGTAAAAGGTAAATTTCATCTAATTTTCAAAGAATTGAAGTTATATGAATTTAGATAATTTAGATTTGTAGCTGAAGTAATGAAGAAGTGATAAATGATAAAAAATTTTAAATGATATGGAAACTGTTCTTATAGGGTTCTCAATTAAGAATTTTGTTTAGATTTAGATTTCTAGAAAATATACTAGAAAATGTACCGAAAAATTAACTTCAATTGCTTTCATCTAGCAACATTAATGGTTTTTTAAAAATTCTTAATTTTTTTATAATTTTGTGAAGGATGGTCACATATAATAAAGTTCAATAAATAATGAAATAAAATTTATAAAATTTTTATTTTTATAATATGAAATTATATAAAATTAATACAAAATATAAAATTTTTATAAAATTTTTGAGCGAAGGCTAGCAAAATTCGAATCCTTCTTGGCTCACAGTAGCATTAATCCTTACAAAAATACCTAAGTAAAATGATAAAATATCCGGAAATTTAAAGAAAATGTGTCGATTACCATTAACAAATAAGAATGTCGAAAAATTTGTGATTTGTGAGTTATAATATTGCAGTAATACAATTATGTTCGAGCCTTTTTCCTTTAACAGCTTTTGATAAAAATAACAGAACTGCGATACAGTCTTTAATATATTTTTTATGGATTGCATAATATAATAATATGACAGATCAAGCGGGCCAAGAAATTCCCCGTGATGCATAATCAGTGGAAGCAACCATCCAACCGTTTTTATTTCTTAATTTTTTTCTAGTCGAACATTAGCTGCTGAGACTATAATCCTATCTTTAAAGAAATGCTCATTATTTCTGGTTTAGCTATTATAATATGGTTGGAAATCACTGGCAGCCCAATCTCTCGATTTTCAGTGCAGTTATCTAAGCCACTCCATTATTCTGCTTTTAATCCTATCAAAATAAACATAAAACAAATATATATATATATATATTTATGAGACGGGTGACTAATATGAAGTATAAAAAAGAGAGTTCGAATAGCAGCCAACATTTTACCTTTCTAGCTATGGATCCTTAGCCAAAGAGTAGATGAAAGCCTTAATTAAACCTCACCTCAAATACGAGTATTGCATACTAAGAAACTTAAAGATACGAATAGAGAGAGCCCTTACGATAGATAATTCTTATTATCATTATGAGAGAAATAAGTCAAAGCTAATTGGTTATAAAATCAAGAATAACATATCGCCCACGAAAAATGAATTTAAGATTAGGACATATGGTAGAAAAGTTAGTCAGCTGGCAAAAATGCAGAAAGCTGTGGGGATTAAGGAGAAAATCCGGTTATCGCAGAAGTGTAAGGGCTAAACACCACCAAAATCCCTAGAAGTTGGTAAACAAAAGCACATTCAAAAACACCAGAGAAATAGAAAACAAAAACATAAATACCCTATTTCGCAAAGAACCAAAATACATTTTTAACTAGTGGGCAACAACATGGTACCAACACTAGAAACTGAATAATACTGGAAGAATATATATATAGTGGCTGCAAGACCTGCGAACAATCAGAACAGGAACCAATTACCACCACAGTATGCAGATTCAATGGCACATTGCGAAGCTGTACAGCACTTGATCTGTATACAACGCACACTTCTATGCTAAACAAACAGCAATCATATCGAGCAACGTAGGTGGCAAGAAATACAACAATATCCAAAGAGGGACAGCGCGAGATCAATGATAAAAATAAGATCTACGTCATTCAGTCACCAAATACGTTGCTAGTATAGCGAGGCTAAAGGAAAGGCAAAGAAACCAATATGAAAATCACGAATTTTCTCACAATGGAACGATGTTTGCATCCCAAGCCTAGCATCCAAGGACTAAAAGAAAGGCAGTGGGTGAGACTTGGTATCAAAGCCATTATCCTGAACGAAACCTGGAATAAATCAAGAGCAAAACAGCACTAAAAAATGAATTGTTGAGAGAACGTCTGAAGCACCAACAGCTAGTGGGAAAAAGCTGGTCTAAAGAATACTATTGAGGTGTTGATTATATCAGCACAGGTAGTAAGCACCAGATCCATCGAAGCAGGGATCTACTATATTGGACAAGATTTAAGGAGAAGACAGAACAGCATATAGCGAATGGCATAAACAAATAGTTAGTATACATCAATATCAATAGTATAAGGGTCAGATCAGGTGAGAGATTCACCAGAAAATCACGAAAAACAAGGCCAAGAATGGTAGATAAAGCAAGAGACAAAGACATCAGGAAAATATTAACATGAGAAGCTAGAGAAATTCCTGGAACTGAAAGGATAACTATAGAAAAAGCGGAAGGTCAATGTGGTCCCACTGATTCTGGATGGGTCCCAAGCGAATCACTTTCACACAATAACAAATCTCTGCCCAGTAGAGCCCACCCAGTAGAGTACAATCAAACTGTATACTATACAAAAGTCAACCAAAACCTTCAAATTTCTCGGCTCATCTTCGAAAACTTTTCGATGATCCATACCCACTTACCATATGGTGAGAGGTAAATTTTTAGATATTTAGAAAAATAAACCACTCACTTCGACTTATTTTGCTGAATTGAAATAATAAAAGAGAGCTAATCGAAAAGTTTTAATGCCAATAATTGTGAAAAATATT